TTCTCAACCTGTTGAAGAAAGCACACCAGAACAAGACCACCCACAGGACGCGGAGACACCTTCAGATCTACGTGTTCACATGGGACTGTTCGACACTACCATTAGGTCTTCTGAGCCGGGCGGAAGTGGTTATGGTGTTGAGGTCATGAGTGGCTCCAGCGATACCTCACGTGACCTTGCTGAGGCTTCAGCAGACGCTCACAATGCTGCCAGCACACATGTACAGCCAGACGACGATCAAATGAGATACACCACTTATGACATCTGGCATTACTCTCAAGATATAGAATTAGCTGGTTCAGTATGGGACGAACTTCACAGTCATCAGAATACACATATGTACTCTGCAAGGGAGAATACAAATGTTTACCGTGAAAGTGAGATTGCACCTGCCAACCCTGCAAGGGAGGTTGCACCTGGCTACTCTGCAAGGGATCAAATGGTCCCTAACGATCCGATGGTCTCTGGCTATCCATTAAGGGACCAAACTGTCCCCAACATCACTGACACGAATCGGGTTGTCCCTGACTATGACACAAGAAATCAGTTGATGCTTGACTACCCTGAAACTGATCAAGCCACTATTCACGATGAAAATGCTGATCTATCCAGAGAAGACACGGTACACAACTGGTGCGCCAATGACGTCTCCAACAGAAACTGGAGTATCGGCCAGTTCAGCCAAGAAGTAGCCTTCGAAAGCCACGCTGACGACCTGGCTCTGTCAGCAGACGACAGACCTCCATCGAGGTCCTCGCTCGTGGGCGTCATTGGATCAAAACCTCGACGCTCCGACAGTATTGCCAGCACTTCACCTCCAGAAACGGATCAAGCTTCTGGCTTTTCATCGCCCTTTCATGACAACGGCATTGAGGTCCCACTTGACGACGACGTAGATAACTTTATGGACAATGAGGACAAGGACGTTTTCGATCAGGATGCAAGGAACATTTTACGCAGCATAAACTTACCCAGCGAGGTTTTAGACGTCCCTATCTTAGGCAGAATGAATTTGCCCAGCAATACTGGAGACGCCCCCATTTTAGGTAGCATCAACTTACCCAGCGAGGTTTTAGACAACCCTATTTTAGGCAGAATTTCGACCAGCGACCACTCTGACCCCCCTATTTTAGGTAGCATCGACTTTTCCAGTCATCCTCCAGACCCCTTAATTTTAGGCAGCAACAACTTACTTAACGATCACTTCGACACCACAGTAGAAATCGTATCCGACCAAATGGCTTCTCTTTGGTTGACAACCAGGTCTCGAAGCTCGTCTGAAACGTCCAGCTGGACGGACGAGGATGACACCGAATTAACCTCACTGGACATAGCCGCAAGAAATGAAATTCACGAATTTACGGACACACGCTATATTATTCACTTGGCCGCCGAGCTATCCAGGCTGAATGACTTGGCTTTTATCAACGAGCACGAAGAACCTATTGACTTATCTGATGAGGCCTCGGCCATTTGGCCCATACCTGAAGATCCGACTTTACTCACGGGCCACAGCTTTAGTCACGCTCAGTTCATAGAGTGTCCACTGTGGCACATCCACTACTTGTATTACCTCACACTGTATCCTGATGAGGGCCAGACCGAACATGGATTGCTTTATCCCGACGATGATCCCCTGACTGTTCCCAACTCTCAGCCCAGCCCTGCCCGTCAGCCAGATCCCGGTCATGTTGCTCAACAGGATCTAAGCCCTGCCCCAAGGCACGTTGCTCAACAGGATCTAAGCCCTGCCCCTGTCCCAAGGCATGTTGCTCAACAGGATCTAAGCCCTGCCCCAAGGCACGTTGCTCAACAGGATCTAAGCCCTGCACCACAGTACGACCAAAGCCCTGCTCCATAAATAAACTTAAGCCCTAGCCCTCAATTGAGCCTTAGCTCTTCCCCACAGTCCAACAATAGCCCTCCCCAGCAATTAAACTTCAACTCTCCCCCACACCCCAACCATAGCCCTCCCCTTCACGCTCATGTACATCCTGCCCCAGAAGTCAACCCTAGCCAGTCCCAACAAGTCAACCCGGACCCACAAAATAGCCCTGACCCACGGATAAACCCAAACCCATATGCCAACCAACTGCACATCATTATCTCAGATTCACCGCCCCAGACCTCCTATCCCAATCCTCACAATACCCTGCCTTAGATTCACTAAGCCTGGCATTATAATCCCCAAACTTGTTTATTGAAGTCCCTCCTGCCACTAATGAAATAGTATTTTCCCAGCAATTTATATGTGTAATTTATTTTGAATCAAGTTTGATGATACATTTATTTATTAATGCAACTTTGAATGTATAGGCAAAAAAAAAAAAAAAAAGAATTTAAAAATACAATCATTTATTTCAATTTGATTAAAAAAAACATCTCTCACATAGAGAGAAGTAAAAAAATTGTCTGAGATTAATAAAATCAAATGTTTTCATTTTAATTTTATGTAACATATTTTTTTATTGCTTTTTAATTTCAATATGCTTCTTTATTGTTCTCATTTGTGTAATTTTTGTGAACCAAAAAAGACATATTTACCAAAAAAAAAATTTCATTTTTATATTTATTCTCCCTAAAAAAATTACATAATAATACAAAAATTCATTCTTTTACCAAAAGTAAAAGACTGACCAAAAAAAAAACCTTTACAAAAAAAGGTGATTTTTTTTTTCATTTTGTCATATTTTTCCATTAATTTTTTTATGAACTAAAAAAATATATATTTACCAAAAAAAAGTTCATTTTTATATTTTATCTCTCTAAAAAAGATAAAGGTGTATAATAATGTATATAAATACAGAAATTCATTCTTTTACCAAAAGTAGAGGATGGACCTTTTAAATTTTTTTTAAAAAAAAGGTGATGGAATTTTCAAAATTCTAATTTGATTTACTTTGTCTTATTTTTTTATTACTTGTTTTTAAAAATGCTTCATTTGAATATTAGAATCATTTTTTAAAAAATATCCTTTGTAAACTATTATTATGCAGCTCACATGTAAAAATTATCTTGGTAATTAGTTTGTATGTTGTAAATATTTTTCGGTTGCTGGGCCGATTAAAAAACAAAATCTTCAACTTCTACTTTTTAGTCTAGACCTACATTTTAAAATAATCAATTAAAAATTCTTACCTGTAGGTTACATGCATCGACGAAAAGAAAAAAATAAACCATATTAATTAGATTTTATTTGAAAAAAAAACTTTAAAAGTATAACTACAACCTCATAATTTTTGTTGTGGATCTTTACCAAATAATATCAGCCAGTGTATTTAATTTATTTTATTTTTTTGTTTGTTTTAATTTGTATTATTTTGTATGCACATTTTACCATTTTCTTTTACATAGTGTAGTGTTAGAGTAAACACGATTCAATATACACCCTTTATTTGCCAATGGTGTGTAGGCCTATGTGTAAAATGGTGTAGGCTAGAATGTTTGCACCATATTTTAAAATCTCATCCATAAAAAAAAAACAAGGAAACTAAAATAATTAAATTTTGTTCTAATGGTGTGCGAAATTTCAAAGTGTTACTTATTTGAAACATAAGGTTAAAGAATTGTATTGTAGATTGTTGTCATAATATGCACATCTGTCATTTATTGTTTTTCAAATAAATTATTAAAAATATATATCTTATTTTGTTTTTTTTTAATTAACATTTTTATCGGGGGGGGGGGGGATTTAAGTCGAAAATATATACTTTAGTCAGAGTCCGCCCCCCCCCCCTGAAAATTTGGTCCACCACCCCGGAAAATATCAAGTGCCCCACCCCCAACCCCGGAGAAAAAAGTCTGTCTGGCAGAAACACTGGCCCTAACTTAAGAACAAGAGCAGCTCGTGAACCGTAACTGCAGGTCCACGTGGTACATGGTTCTCACCAGTTTAAAAAATGAGGTCAGCGGGTAAAAATGTCGAGGTAAAACCAAGGGGAAAATTTTAGTTGAAAAAAGTCATAGACACTTGAAAGCAGATCTATAAACAGCCATAAAGTCAAGGATTTGGGTTGCGAATGTAAAATCATATTAGGGGTTGTCCATAAATGACGTCACACTCGTAGGGGGGAGGGGGGTCCACAATTTTGTGACGGTGTGTGATGAGGGGGAGGGGGGGGTTCAGATGGTGCGACGTCACACTTTTGCATTATAAAAAAACAATGTTAGAAAACAAATTTTAATTAAATTTAGCATTATGGTAGCCTATACACAGAGGCGGGGGTGCAGACCGCACCGGTTGACACCATTTATCGGGTGACACAAAAAAAAAATGAAAATCATATAGAAAAGATATGCTTTTTGCCAGTTCAATGAATGATTTTGTAGTACAAATTGAATATCCCGACAAGGGGCGGGGAGTGGTTTGACATAACTAATGAGAAAATAGTGCAACATCTAGCAATATTAATAATCGACTATGTTTACTATTATCTGTGAACCCTTTAAAGCTATATATATATATATATATATATATATATATATATATATATATATATATATATATATATATATATATATATATATATCTTTTTCCTTTGTTGATGGCGGGGGGGGGGGGCGACACCATGAGTTGCCGCACCGGGTGACACTCGACCTAGCGGCGCCACTGCGGCTATTCTGTGTTTCTGCTGCCTCAATAACACCCCCCCCCCCCCCCCCCCCCCCAGATGTTTGGAAGAAACTTTGTATACAGAAAATCAAAGTATTTTCTGTGGGCCTATATAAAACCAATACTATTACTAGATCCATCTAGAATCTTATTTATGTTTAGCTAGTGTAAACACAATTTATGCCGCTGACGCTCATCAGTTTATGAATCAATAATATTACAAAATGGGAATTTAAAACACAATAATATTAAAGTAAAATCGCGAAACTGGACAAAAATCCAATTATAAGATTATAATGGGTAATTCCCGATAGCCGGAAATAAATAGATCTAGATCTAAAGTTGAAACCATTTGAAATCAAATGAACAGACTAAACATACTTTCATTCTTTAGTGGAAATGAATTTATAACAACTTGATCTATCCTCACTTTTGCTTTTAAAAATAGATCTGTAATAATTTTCTAGGGCATTTAATTAGTTAAGTATAAATAATAGGGCCTAGATCTACTCAGTTATAGATCTACTATTTATTATTTAATATTTATGGGTGTCATTATTCATTAGGTAGGCCCAATAATTATTAAAAATAAGTTAATGTCAAGGTTTGAATGTTAGGCCATTATTTAATTTAATATTTACTACTTATTTAAATATTTAGGCCTAGGCCGGCTAGATTCTAGTCCAGACTAGCTGTACTACACTTTCGACGTACACTATGATTTATTTACCTATTTTAGAAATTTTAGTATTTTGTACTATAGTATTTAGTTAGGCCTATATTTAAGAATTTATTATAGTATCTAGTATATAGGCCTACCATTATAAATTTAAAAAATATTTGCATAATTCTAGAGACGGGAGTTGTGCCTAGAGATCTACAATTGAATTGCTACTTGTTATTTCTTGTCATCTAAATGTTTGTTGTTAAGGCCTAGATCTAGATCTAGATTAATGTGTAGATTCAGATTGTAGAATGTAGATTTTTAAACAGATATTTTATACTTAACAAATAACTTCTTATAGACTAGTACTCACAGTCATACTATAACTATAGGACCCTACTGTGAATCCTCAACCACTTACCTGAAGCGCAACTGGTCGATCACTTGTTACAGACAGTTTTGTCAGAAGAATAAGGCTAATATAGTAATAATAGGGTAATTTTATCCCATTTTGCAGCTATAAAAGGATAATTTGAGCCCATTGTGCACCTATTAATAGTATTTAATTTGAGCCCACTGTACAACTATTAGGCCACTTTGTAAAATAAAACCACATTATCTTTAGGCCTACATAAAATTGAATGGAGGTGGGTGTTTCTCTCTGTGTGATTTTTTATGAATTAGACTACACCTTATACCCGATCGCCATAAACTTTGGGAAGCTGTTGAGAATACTTCTGGGAATATTTCTGTGACTAAAAAATAATTTTCACTCTGCAACAGGAACACAGTTGGCTACTACTTTTGATGTTTGAACTGAACCTGGGGTCGCACACTGCACCCCTGCTGTATTGTAATAACCAGTGGCTCCTTAGAGCGCCCTGTGACACCCCTGATGTGATACTTTGTAGTACAACTATATATTTAATTAATTTTATATTTCAATTAACTTTGTATTACTTCTTCTAGAATGTACATCTGTAGTAAGTGAGAAGCCCAACTGAAAATGCATCCTCTGAAAATCTCTCAAGAATCATTGGAGACAACTGTGAGTGTAATTCTTAGGGTTCCTGCACTCTTCCTGATAGAAGTATGGTTCCGCACCAATCCACATACAACCATCCAGCTCCATTCTGATGATGTTGAGCTTATTGTCACTATTGCTTACTATATGGGTAAGATTTTTTTTTTATCAGGCCTTGAACATGCAAAAAAAAAAATTAAGAAAATTTTACTCTTAAAATAGTATTTCAGGATTTCATAATTTTTAAAGAATTTACTATTAAGTATTTTATAAAACCTAAAGCATTGAGTTAGATGCTATGTTAAATTTTACATTTAAATTTCATAGTGTAGGCAGTAAAGTTTGAATAATTTTCACTAAAAGCAGATGAATAATTCTTTGTTTGCCTTTTCCAGCTCTAATAATAGCAGTGGCTATTGCCACATTGCCACTGAGACATCTGGTGACCTTCTACATCTACCTGGTCTGTGCTGGTCTCATGGCCTGTGCCAGGCTGGTGTCTAAAACCTACGTGTCCATTGAGAAGCTGGAATACGATGAGGAGCTGGACATAGCAGAGAGAAGTAACATAACTATTGAGACGGGGTTGTCTGCCTTGCTGGAAGACCGCAAGCAGATAGAGCGCCTGGTGTTGCACATATTTGCACAGGTTTTGATTGCTGCCATTGTAGCCTATCTGATGGAGATTAAAAACTGGGTCAAGTTCACTCTGCTTGCCTTTGCTCTGCCTGTTGTTGCGAGGTTGATGGGGTTTCCTGTTGCTGAGTTGCATCTGGTTCATGACTTTTCAACAATCTACACGATTCTCCTCATCCTGTTTTGTATATTCAATAATCTTGGCAATATCATAGACATATGTAAAGAAGGAATCAGCATGGCAGTTGCATCCTTTAGAATATTTGGAATTATTCCTGTTGCCTTATCCTTTTGGCGGACCATGGCTTTACCCGTACAACTGCTGCTATTTTGGGGGTTGATGTTCCTTACCCAGATATACGTGTATGTTTACTCAGACAACCTTGGCATCTGGCAGGAGGGTTGGCTGGTTGTTCTTCTGGCCAGCATGGGTGAGTGCTGTGCCACCCCCGTCAGCCTCCTGGCCTTGTGCGTCACAATAACCTACGCATCCTGCGCCGTCCTGTGTCTGACCAAACTTTACCTGCAGGGCCTGGACGCTTTTGAACACGACACCATGAGGGGGTGGACGGAAGGTTTTACAATGCTACTCATAGCCGTGCAGACGGATCTTCTAGAGCTGAAGCCAATACAGAGAGCATTCCTGATGAGCATTTTGTTATTCATCGTGGCTTCCTCACTCATTCAGTCCATGTACGAGATAGTGGACCCTGTCCTGCTAGCACTCAGCGCCTCTCATAACCCGAGCATCTTCAAGCATATCAAAGCTGTGGCGTTGTGTACAGTGCTCTGGATACTTCCGTTGTACATGACATATTTTATCTGCCAGTATTTTGAGATGGATTTTTGGCTAATGGTCATAGTCTCCAGCTGTTTACTCACCTCCGTGCAGGTCATAGGGTCCATTGTCGTCTACCTGTTGTTCATGTATGATTTCATGCGCCCGGAACCCTGGGAGAAACTAGACGATGTTGTCTACTGTGCCAGGGCTGTCACCAGAGTAATGGAGTTCATTGTTGCTGTCTTTGTGGTCTGCTTTGGCCTGAAGGAATCCCTGATTGGAGAATGGAGCTGGATCAACTCTATCATTCTCATTGTTCATTGTTACTTTAATGTCTGGCAGAGGCTGCAGAGTGGATGGAAGAGCTTCCTCCTGCGCTGGGAAGCCGCTAAAAAAGTGGAGTCGCTTCCGCTAGCATCAGAGGAGCAGTTATCCCGGCATGATGATGTGTGTGCTATCTGCTACAGTGACATGAAGACGGCCTGCGTCACACCTTGCGAGCACCTCTTCCACTGCGTTTGTTTAAGGAAGTGGCTGTACGTGAAGGAGACCTGTCCCATGTGCCACAGGGACCTGGCCAACAACCAGGTCAACCCCAGCTCCAATGAGAACCCAGCACCAGCTGATGATGGTGGCGCCACCCAGCGCGGGGAGGGAGAGGCCAGGGAAGGTGAGCTGCACAAACAGGACAGCAGCGACAGCTCCAGTAGTTCCAGTGCCAGCCTTGAGGTGGACAGCTTTGATGAGGATTATGATGATGCAGCACTGGCTGAGGCTGATCAGTAATTTCTTTCTCCCAACACAGATATTTCTCTTCTTTAGCAATACAGGAAAAACTGCATTTCAGTGACTTTTTTTTGTCTAAGTGCACAAAACTATCTAGTCATTTGCCTTGTGACATTAATTTTAACCTGTGCAAGCATAAATTAAGTTTTTATCCAGGTTACGCTGAGAAAAAAACTAAATACTTTTACCTCATTAGAACTAGCACTGGCTAGGCTAATTTATAGCATTGGACAGCAGAAAGTACAGGGGAGTTGTACTATAATCAAAACATAATCAACTGCTATGCTTCACACTGACAAAATGTTTCATACCACATATTATACCAGAATTGTTTACTTTGCTTACATCTTGTGTAGGCTATAAGGAATCTCTCAAAAATGGGTGCCATCTATGTTCAAAGTAAGTTCTTTGAAATCTTGCCATATCAATTTATATGAGAAATAGTTAAACAAGCTATGATTCTTTTTGTAACAGTTCAAAAACGTATTATAAAAACAAAAACACCACAGATAATAATGTAATAAAAGAAGATAACACGGACCATTCCTTGTGTAAAACTTTAAAACGAATTTATCATCTTCTGTTTTCATCTTGTTGCATTTTTGTTCTTTTTAGCCTTTTTTTTTTTAATTGAAGAATAGTTTTTCATTGACGCTTGTTTAAGTCAAACTTAAATACTGAAAAAGGTCAGTTATTTAAAAATTCAACAATGTAATTGGCTACATGATTTCTTTGACAATACTATGACTCAGTTATATTAAGTGTGGTTTCACTAAAATTTAGTGTATGTGATTATTTTAGCAAACCATGTGGTGCACGTATTTAGGTTGTATGAGCCAAGTATAATCCTGTGATAATTGTTGAATGGTACCTGCCATAATTTTAATTAGCCATGAAGATTAGTGTTATGGATCGAATAGATCAACCAAGAGAATCAGAGAACTGTTTGAAAATTGGTCTCTACTAGGCTCAACAACTCCAACCAACAGCACTAGCTTTAAAAGATGTATTGTCATTTTTAAGAAGGAGGCCTATACATTCTGCATTTTTTAATTTATTTTTCTTTGATTTTGTTGTTGTAAGTATTCTAATTTTTTATGTTTTTTTTTTAAATTACCAATTTTTTTTAAATTTTTCATACATAAATTGAACTGTGCATATTATCAAGCTTGAACTATGTGATCCAGGTTGTTTATTTTGACTTCTTTATGTTAGTCTAAGACCTCTTCTCATCTACCCATGTATTAAAATGTCAGACATTTTTTATGATATAGTGTAACATTTTGTGAAAAAATAAAATCTATGAACCATGTATATTATGATTAGATCTTTCATATATAAAATATATCATCAACACAGTAGAAAAAGCAAAACAAATCTTGAAGTTTTCCCCTATTGCTAGACTTAAAGGCATGTTTCCTGGCCAACTGTTTGCAACCAGGCCTTACCAAAATATTTTACATTACCATCTACACCCTGCTGTATGTATATAGTATTTTACATATATTCATACATATATATATATACATATATAAATATGTATGTATATGTGTGTATACATGTGTGTATATACGTGTATATATATATATATATATATATATATATATATATATATATATATATATATATATATATATATATATATATAAACTGGCACAGTTTATGAATGGCATAAATAATGGCTAATTCCTTGAGGATTTACAGAATAAGGCGTCTCCTTCAAAGCTAGGTCAAAGACACATAAATGGGCATAGTCCAGGAAAATATGAGCCAAAGATTTCTAATTGTATTAGTTCTTGATTCAAGAATGTACATTAGTTAGGTTGTTGTTTCATAATTCAGAATTATGTTGCAACATGAGACTTTGTCACTGACTTAAACACGGACCTTTTCTTTTACCATTAGAGGACTTATTGAATCAATTACATAGAGGACTGTATTGAATCAATTACACAGAGGACTTTATTGGATCAATGTTACAGAGGACTTATTAAATCAATTACACAGAGGACTTATTGAATCAATTACACAGAGGACTTATTAAATCAATTACACAGAGGACTTATTGAATCAATTACACAGAGGACTTTATTGGATCAATGTTACAGAGGACTTATTAAATCAATTACACAGAGGACTTATTAAATCAATTACACAGAGGACTTATTGAATCAATTTTACAGAGGACCTATTGAATACATTCTACAGTATTTACAACCTAGTTGGCAGTGCATTCAGTGCGGCAAGAACTGGCACATTCTTACAATCCTACATCCCCATTAACCTAGATATCGAATTTACTCCCTACTAGCCTACACTAAGCTGAGAACGTGGGTGCCGTCATCTCAAAGCCAGCGGTTCCAGAAGAAACCAATCAGTCAATAGCCAACCGTCGTGTGATCAGCGAACCGCGTCACGATCAGTTCTGCTGGCGGGCTTTACGTTTGGCAACAGGCGCGAGTAGGTGGGCTGTGCTTAGACCAGACCCGTGGGAGCGGCCTTAAGTTGGCAATCTGGTTAGGTTCTAGAGGGGAATCGCTCAGGACTATTCTTCTTTTGGTGTTTCAAAGTGGACGAATACATGACGTGCTTCGCTGTAGAACTTGTTCGGAGTCGTCTGTTTATATTTAGCACCAATATACCGTGTTGCGTTAATATAAGTGCCAATTTTAAAATTGTACATTCGAATGCTACAATAGCTCAGTAAGTGTATATTATATTCTCCTTACATTTGTGCAGCAATTGTATACGCCAATTTAGAGCTGTTTAGTCTTATAAACTTAGCTGCAAATACATCATGGAATTAAATTCACCGGGACTCAACTCGACGTCTCTGGAAACATCCACAGCGCCTCACATCGTATTTCTGATCCTCTTTTGTGTCGTTTCTTTCGCTGGCAGTTTTTTAATCATCTTAGTCCTGCTCCACCACAGCAAGTACCGCTCTGTGCAGAACGTCATGATCGCCAACCTCTGCGCCCTGAGCATCGTCGACTGCGTGTTCAACATGGCGCTTGTGCTGGGATCTCTGGCCAGCGGCGACTGGATCTACGGAGCTTACATGTGTAAGGTCAACAATTTCTTCATGAACATCGCCATCATCCACACGATGGTGATGCTGGCGGCCCTCAGCGTTGACCGGTACTGCGTCATCAAGTTCTCGCACAGGTACGAACTCTGGCTCCGCTCGTGTAAGCTTCGAACTCTGATCGCTTGTGTCTGGGTCCACGCGTTGGCTTTCGGCTTACCGTTTCTGACGGACGTTGTCGAGTCCTCGTATGTCCCTCACATCCACATGTGCACCTTGACAGGCAGGACGTCCCTGTGGTTTCTGCACATCTCCCTCGTGACCTGCTACATTGGACCACTCGCCACTACCCTCATCTTTCAGCTCCTCTCTTGTAGGCTCTCCGTTAAACTGGGATATGCACGAAAAAACGAAAAACACCTAAACGATTATACCCAAATCGTCAGCAAAACCCCGGAAATGTTCAACTACAACTCGCATTCTTTTATTACTTTACTAACAGCGGCGTGGTTTCTACTCGAAGCGCCTTTTATTGTGGTTTTATATGTTTACATGTACGAGGAAAGCAAGGGTCAAGGACAACCTTTTATCATCCCGTGGGACCTCGCGTCAGCTTTCATCTGGATGAGATTTGCCTTCTCGGCTGCGTGTCCCGTGATCACCTTCCTATGCAAGAAAGAGCTCTGGCAGGGCACTAAAGAATGGTTTCTGTGTCGCAGGAACAACTCAGTGGTGGACATGCACTCGGCCAGCGCCTCGTCTGACGTCAGTTTACAGAAGGACTTCTCTAAAAGCGCCGAGAGGAGCTTCTCCACGCCGAAGAGCTCGAAGCCGCAAGAGAGTTCCGAGATGCAAAAACCTCTTCCGTTTAACGTGCCTGTTCTCTTCGCCACCTCGACTGGGATTTGCATTGAAGATCCCGACTATCGACAACTGGATACCGAAATGGTTCAAACCACTTGCATCGTCGATCATTTGAAAGGTAAAACATTAGATATAGTCTATTTGGAATACGAATACGCGGATGAGCTTGTTGGGGAGACTAGTGATTACGATTCAAGTTGCGAAGTCGATCCTTACTGTTCATCCCAGCCGGTTTCTGCCCGGCAAATTCACGGAATATTCCGCCGCTCGCGGTCTATGTCTGAGCCGGAGATTAAACCTCGAGTCTACGACAATAAAACAAAAGCTGATGGTGGGAATCTTTCTGGAACATTCTGTGCTGATTCAGGGCTGGATCTCACCAGCACGTCCGCCTCCGCTGCTTCAACTCAGTCGTCTGGTAAATCTGTAAAAAGAAACGCAACAGAATACCAACACGTGCAGCCTCGATCTGACGAGACTCGACCCACATCAGATACAAATAACTCAGGCGCATGCGTGGGAATTCCCAAAGTTAGACAAGATGACGTAAAAACTTCAAACACTACCCATTCTCCACAAGTTAACAAAATAAGAATAGAGACACCTAGAAGAGCTGGAAATAGATCCCACGTCAACTTATACCAAACCCCAAAGAACTCTGATCATGCGAAGATTCGTTCCAATCCACAGCACATACAATCTGTGCATATTTCTCGTAGTGGGCTCAGGGGAGTTAATGCAACAGATACCCCTACTCTAAATGATGGATCGATAACAGATCTATAACAGGAAATTATCTCAGGTAAGATTTTCGATATCGTTCTGTAATCTTTTACCCGCTGGGCTTAATATAATCGTGGCTTAATTAATGTGCCAATCAACCGTGACAGAGACTCGTAGCTTAACGATCTACTCACACAGGCAGTGGGTCCTCCATGTATTAATCAGTCCCTTGCATATCAAGCGAACAGGTCTACATAAATCGACGTGTTTGTGGTGGGCTGGATGTGAACAGCATACTTAGATCTAGTATCAAAAGGTGTAGTTTAATATGTGGGTAGACTTAAATAACAGTTATGCAGACTTCATTAAAAATGGTTTCTGGCCATAATAATAATTAAAAAAAATATTTTGAGAATCAAGAAACGTCTCTTTTGACGTATGTGGATTAGACCGTATATCTTGGTATCTCTAGAAACTAGCCATAACCAGATTTTCAAATATGAATTCACCATGTCCTAAGCAGTGTTTCTTCCAGACTTTTTTCTCCGGGGGGGGGGGGGGGGGCGGACACTGTTAAAAGTATATATTTTCTATTTAAATTTCCTTTCGTTCGGGGGGGGGGGGGGGGGAGGGGGCGGTAGACTTTTTTCGGGGGGGGGGGGGGTCCGCTCCCCCGAAGAGATGCCTGGAAGAAACTCTGGTCCTAAGTCGAATCCTAACTATTAGAAGTACCCATGAAATTGTAAGGTACAAAGAGTTAATTAAACCCCCGATTTTGTTTACATCTACTTAGGCCTACATTTACTTTAGCCTGTTATTTTTTTTAGCTGGCCACCTATGTCTTCGCGTGAACGTCTTGCGTGACAATAGACAAAAGCAATTACCACAAGTTGCACACGATTATCGCCCGTCGTTTACTGACGTCCGCTGATGTTGAGTCGGTGATTGATCAATCTTTAACTTCGCATCCTTACATTTTTTTCTTAATTAAATAAAGTGGAATAGTACGCTAAGATGTACATCGTATGGTAGCTGACATTGTATTTAATAAAATTGTTTTTTAAATTCTTCTCACTAGACTAGTGCTATTACGTCGCTCCAACTATTGTATTCACTACAGCGTGTATTCCCATATTTAAAGTACCTTTTTACCCCCAACCCCCATATCCCTTATCGAACATTGGATAACATTTTCTAATAACACAACCCGTCATATTAAATTTAAAAATTTAGGCCACAGAAAGAGACACATCGTTTTAAACTTATTACATCTATATTTGAAAAAGTCTATATTTTGTGAAAATGAAAATTCGTAAGTCGTGTCAAACTATTCATCCACCTATTTTAATTAAGTGGAAATAATTTAATAAAAACAAGAATAAAGATTATATAAGACAGTATAATATAACATTGTTCTATACCCTCACCCAACCTCATAAATCATTACATAACATGAGATTGTATGTGCTTAGTCCTTAATCAGCATGCAATTAACGCTCATTAACCGGCTACTCAAGGAAATATTTTTTCACGGGCTGGCCTACACTGGAATTTTCCTATCCATGGGACGAGTGGGTCGAGTCTAAAGAGTGGGAGAGGAAGGACTGGGGTGGGGGATCGTTCTTTTAAACCCCCACCCAACGACGCGTCACTCAGGATTTCTTCAGTAGCCCTATATGCTATAGTTCTGCGTTACACGAATTTAGGCCTTAATACTGTTAAACCATTAGTATGGCAATGAATTATATACATTTAGAGGTGTCGATTCCGCATTATGAAATGACCAAACAAACGATTACTGAAGATTACAAAGCTCTATAGATACACAATTTCATTTTTAATGAGTTTTTATCTTGTTTGAAGGGTGGGAAAAATCTGGCAACAATTTTAACTGTTGCAACATACAGTTTTATACTGGTGAATCTTTGGCTGACATTTAAACAATCGAAATTTCTCGAGCTCTTGCTTCTGTCCGAGATACAAAAGAAATGAAGAACACGACAGGCTGAAGTTTTGAATTTCAATTCTAAGAATGTTATCTACATAATAAAGCCATGCTTAATTCTCTGTATTTTTCACAATAGTCTCCCCCACCCCACCAACCCATTAAAATTATTCACCTGTAACAAGTTGAAACATTAAGGCGTAACCTCTTGTTATTTTTAGTATATCGTATATGCATATATAGGGTATATATAACGTCACACTTTTTAAAACACGCCTACCCTATCGTCACAATGGTATAAACTGTCAGACCCCCCCCCCCCCCCATGACATTTTTAAAAGTTTTAAAAGCTTTTATTTTTTTTTAAATAAACTCTTTTTTCTAAAGATAGTAGCACTCTATGTTTTTGAATGATTAGACTTGTATTATTTATTGAAATATCATATATATATATATATATATATATATATATATATATATATATATATATATATATATATATATATATATATATATATATATATATATATGCGTGTGTGTGATAGAGATAAATATAGATATACATATATAAAAATAGCCTGTGTAAGTGTATGTAAATAAAAGTATTAGCATTATGGATTAAATATAGAAGCAGCTCAGCAATCGATATCTGACAGTCGGTAGGAGGTCCTTTACTTGATTAACATTTAATGACATTCACGCACGGCTGACTCCTCTTATGGGCTGTATAAAAACAATTTTCGCTGTATAAAGCTGTAATGCGTGTACTTTGTACACAACTTTGGCTTATGCAGGTGCCTGCGTACGCTTACAATAGCTTCAAATTAAAAAAAAAAAAAAAAAAAACGTCTATACAATAGGCCTACCGTTTTATTTTTCTTGTTACGTTTTTCTCCGTTTACGTTTCAGGTGTCATTTTGTTTAAGGTCGTATGGGCACAATGCCATTCACTGAGTTGTTAAATGGAAATTTTTTATTTTGCTATTTCTCGAGACATTTGAATGCGTTGATTATTTCAAGTCGCCTGATTAATATTAGATTTTTTACGTTTAAAGAGCTGATAAGTCCCATAAGACTTCTTTGAATCAACATTATGATTATAGCTAAAAGGTTAGAGTTTGTAAAATTATAGAGTGTTCTTTTTGTATGAACACGTTCTTGATTACATACACGCTTAACGTGTGTGAACGTGACGCGAACTAACACCGCGTTTACACTTGAGACATGTACAGGATACATGTGTTGGAAAAAACACTTTTATCAAAACATGTATAGCGGGGCCCACTCACCGCGAAGTTGTTTTTTCTAGACGTGAAGGGGAGGGGGGTACACGTGATCCCCCCCCCCCTCTTCCGAGAGTTCCCTAAACGATTCCAATATTTCCCGAGCCTAAATTTGGTGGGATCAAATGCTTACCCGAAAAACTTAGGCTGATTCTCACCAACTGATTGGAATTCACGAAAAATATTAAAACAAATCCTTAGTAGGCCCACTTAACGATTAGCCCAACCCATCGCTTAAGCAAACTGGTATAATTATTCTCCATTAAATCAAAGAACGGATTTGTAAAAAAAAAGTAAAATGATTATTAATTATTTATACAATTGCGTAATTTAAAAACAAAACAAACAACGGCTGCCCACCAATGACAACTTATGTTTAAACAAATAATCACGTTTTTCATTCCACAGATTATGTCGCGTTTGTCTAAACGTAGCGGCTTGATTAAACAGGCGAATCCATTAGCAAGCAAACATACAAGGCAAAGTTACAGATATGACGAATGCGGGTAAAATGGTTATCGTCGCTGGAATTTGCACAAACTTGAATTATTTGCCCTTTTTTTTGTCGAGATGTGTTTGCGATGTTAATAATAACCTGTGGTTTAGAGACCAGTTGAGTTTGTTATGTTAATAATAACCGCTGGTTTATAGACCACTTGTGTTTGTTATGTTAATAATAACCATTGGTTTATATGCCAGGTGTGTTTGTTATGTTAATAATAACCGCTGGTTTATAGGCCAGTTGTGTTTGTTATGTTAATAATAACCATTGGTTTATAGACGAGTTGTGTTTGTTATGTTAATAATAACCATTGGTTTATAGCAGTGGCGTAGCGAGGTCGGGTGTCACCCGGTGCGGCACTTAATGGTGTCACCCCCCCCCCCCCCCAGAGGCATAGAGACCCTTCCCAGGGACAAACTTTCAAATTTTCGATTTGCACCCCCCTCCTCAAGTTTTCGATTTGCACCCCCCCCCCCTCGAGTTTTTCTCTATATATTTTGCTATTTTTTGCCTTGGTGTCACCCCCCTAAATGGTGTCACCCGGTGCGGTCCGCACCCCCGCCCCCCCCCCCTCCCCTCGCTACGCCCCTGGTTTATAGGCCAGGTGTGTTTGTTATGTCAATAATAACCCCTGGTGTCTGGCCTGAAGCGAATAACGATCAAAGAGGTCTATAAAGTGGCAGCAACAGACTGAACCCAATGCCACCTCCCTGGCCCACTTCTGCCAGACTATAATTGTTCCTGTAGTTGTCGAAACCTGTTAATCTCCATTTTAAGTACCGACCTCTTTGGTTTCAAACCAATGAAGCAATTAAATGTAATGTGGTACTTAATTATTTTTAATTACAGTATTAAATGAATTTAATTGAGATGAATTTGTAGATTGAAGCTTACAAACACACACACACACACACACACACACACACACACACACACATATATATATATATATATATATATATATATATATATATATATATATATATATATATATATATATATATATATATATATAAAGAGAGAGGGGGAGGGAGAGATAGAGAAAAATATACTTGATGTATATTAGAAATGTCGTTGATTGTTTCTATAGATCTACGAGTGCAAGCCTTAATGTCATTACTAACTTAAACCATGTCATTACTAACTTAAACCATTTGGTCGACACCCACCTTCCCCCCCCCCATCCCACCATCTCTTCCTTTTTTTGCAAGTTTTCAGAATTAGTGTTTGAATGTGTGACAGTTATATTTTATTAGATGGTGTAAACAAAACAAAAATCCAGTCATCAACTTGACCATACCTGCCGTGCTACTCTCTGATACACTGAGCACACACTATCAAGCCACAGTGCTTGGAACATGAATCTGTCACACTGAGCTTGCTGTTTTTTGTCATTGAGCTATATTTTTCCCTAAATTATTTCAAAGAGTATGACATTTAGGAAGGGAGTTTGTTGTTTGTTTTAGTTCAATTCCAATTAAAATTCCCCCTTGATCTTAGTTGCAACACGATAAAATGTAATTAAATTTGACACGCTGGCTGTTGATACAAAGTTCTATTGGCTGTATGCCTGTTCGATTTATTTTGTGTACCGTCAATTGTTCAGTCTAAGTGAGACACTGATTAATATTTAATAAGTCATCTAATAAATGGTTATAGAAAAATGCTGTCAAAAGGTATTTTCTAATCGATACGCTTGAACTTGAAACTAGTTTCGAAGTATCGACCACTGAAAGACAACTTTGTAAATAGTCAATCATCGATTTAGCAAGGGAAGTAATTCTTTACGATGTATATACTGAACTGGATTGTTGGTCTTGGGTATTGAGGAACGTTAATAAATTGCATCAAATACATTGTTTTAGAATTTATTTCTAAAAGCATATCAACTTATAGATGTTGTTTGTTTTTTAGTTATAAAAAATAATTTTGCAACTGCTGTAACTCCTTTTGACTGTAATGTAAAAAATAATATTCAAAATGACCCATTCCCTTACATTACCAGGGTAAATAAATCAATGATAAAATGGGCCAGGTTCGTTAGTGTTCGCTTTCCCTCTGTGTAGTTTTTTTTTTCTCCACCAGAGTGCATAAAGTGTAGGTATGTTTACTAGGCTGGTGGGTCGGGGTGTGCGTGAGTGAGTGGTGATAGCTGAGGGGGTCGTCCATAAATAACATCAAGCTTTTTTGCTATTTTACCCCCCCCCCCCCTCTCTCTCTCTCTCTCTCTTCATAGTCAGAAAAAGCCAGACCCCACTCCTCAAATGACGTCAAACAGCCTACAGTCTCTCTCAAGCAGGTTTTAAAAATTTAAAAACATCGAGTTGTATACAATATCTTTTGAGCTTGACCATCACAAAGTTTTTTAAATCAATTTCTAAAACAGCCTTTTAAAAACGCAAAATATTGGCTAAAATTCAGCTCACGACATTTCTTGATAAAATGCACAAGCATCACAAAACTCCTCCACCCCCCCCCCCCCCTCACCCCCGTAGATGGTTGACGTCGTATATGGACGACCCCTAAGCTACATCGGCGTCACTATTCGAAGGTTTTACTTAACGTCTTAAAATGAATATCAGTTACTTCAGAAGTCAGCGGTTGAGGCATGGCGAGTGTTAGTGAAGAGCAAAAAAAAAAAATGTAACCTTCTCAACTTGCATGACGAAACTTGCCTGCCTATGCCACTGCTAACAGTAGTTTATATAGGGAGGCGTTGTAAGCTGGTGACTGCGAGATGGAGATCAACCTTTTGAGGTGGGGGGGGGGGGGCGCTAGTCTTAACCAAGGGTTTCAGTTTTGTGATGGGAGGGTGGATGGGGCTTATACAGCACATGACCACTTTGTGACCAGTGATATTATGTGGAAAATATGCGTGCATGAAAGTCCTAAGCTACAGTTAGAATGTAGATATTTTACGATAAGAAAGTAGTATTGTGGTGATACAAATATTAATTTAGTTTTAGAAATGTTTGAACACTAGAATGAAATGCATGAGTGAATTTAGTAGAACGATTGTGAGAGTATATTGATGCATGAGATTTCATTTAGGTGTATTGTAGTTAATTATGTTTGCTGTGTTCATGATTAATTAAAGTACACTTTAAACCTTGAGAAAATATCTTTTTTTTTAAATTTATTTTAGTTTTACTACATGTATTAATTTTGACCGTAGCTGAATACCAAGGGGCCTGTGGGGCCCATTCCACCAATGAGACTAGCATGAGGCCCTATGTCCAGTGGGCACCCATTCCGCCAATGAGACTTGCATGAAGCCCAATTTGTAGTGGGGGCCCACTCTACCAAGGGGCCTGTGGGGCCCATTTCACCAATGAGACTAGCATGAGGCCCTATGTCCAGTGGGGGCCCACTCTACCAAGTAGTCTAAGGTAGGGCCCTTCCACCAATGAGACTAGCATGAGGCCCTGTGTCCAGAGAGGTCCCACTTTACCAAGGGCCTAAAGCTGGGCCCATTCCACCAATGAGACTAGCATGAGGCCCAATTTGTAGTGGAGGCCCACGCTACCAAGGGGTCTGTGGGGCCCTTCCACCAATGAGACTAGCATGAGGCCCTATGTCCAGTGATGGCCCACTTTACTGGGCCTATTTCACCAATGAGATTAGCATGAAGCCCACTCTACTAATGGTACTAGGATGAGGCATACTCCAGAATTAACTACAGGATGGAAACCAACCATTCCATCAATGAGATCGGAAGGGAGCCCACTCGATCCATTTTCAAGATCGGACACACTTCTCCATTGAATCCAGGATGGGACCCACTTTACCAATGTCCAGGATAGGACCCACTCTACCAATATCCAATATGGTACCCACTTTACCCATCATTGTCCAGGATAGGACCCACTCATCCAATGTCCAGGATGGGACACATCTCATCCAATGAGTCAGGATTGGGTAATTTCCAACACTAAACACTGGTATTAATGCTTTGCAATATAATTTATAACAATCATGCAACATATAACTAATCAAATTTGTTACTGAGCTGTACAGAGTTTGTATTGATTAAAGACAAACTGGTCTAACCACTCCCACATTCTGATAACGGCCAATGAGAAATAAGCCCTCCGTGCCTACTATTGTTACCGTTATTGAATGAATAAATAAATTGGATGAATAAATAAATAAATATCCTTGTCCTAGCTTTTGTCCCAGGCTAAAAAATGGCACAACATCAGTTTGTAGAAATAGAACATCAAGCCTTTGTCTCAGAGTCTGACAGAAAGCACTTCATTTACTGTGCTGGCTACTACTACACAAGCTTTTGCTACAAGGAAATGTAATTCAAGTATTTTGGATATCTTCCTGATTTATGCTAGTAGACAAAACACAACGCAACACAAAAGATGCTACTTGACATAAACAATGTATTCTATATCTGGTGTGACAATCGCTTTGATTATAACAATCGAGCCTGCTTAAATGTATAAATCGTGACGGATGTTCATTTATAGTAAAAAGATAAGTCTGAATTCCTTGACAACTTTTACAATAGAAAATAATTCAAAATTCCTTGACATTTACAGTAAAAAATAATTCAAAATTCCTTGACATTTACAGCAAAAAATAATTCAAAATTCCTTGACATTTACATTAAAAATAATTCAAAATTCCTTGACATTTACATTAAAAATAATTCAAAATTCCTTGACAACAACAGAAGTGAGAGGAGCTGAGAGAAGGTTTAGCTTTTCTTGAAGTACTCTTTGGAGCCTTCAGGGGTTGGGATGATGGTGTCTGAGTTTGGCTTCCAGTTGGCAGGACAAACTGTAAATAAACATTTTAAATCATGAACAGGACAAACTGTAAATAAACATTTTAAATCATGAGCAGGACAAACTGTAAATACACATTTTAAATCATGAGCAGGACAAACTGTAAATAAACATTTTAAAACATGAGCAGGACAAACTGTAAATACACATTTTAAATCATGAACAGGACAAACTGTAAATACACATTTTAAATCATGAGCAGGACAAACTGTAAATACACATTTTAAATCATGAGCAGGACAAACTGTAAATACACATTTTAAATCATGAGCAGGACAAACTGTAAATACACATTTTAAATCATGAGCAGGACAAACTGTAAATACACATTTTAAATCATGAGCAGGACAAACTGTAAATACACATTTTAAATCATGAGCAGGACAAACTGTAAATAAACATTTTAAAACATGAGCAGGACAAACTGTAAATACACATTTTAAATCATGAACAGGACAAACTGTAAATACACATTTTAAATCATGAGCAGGACAAACTGTAAATACACATTTTAAATCATGAGCAGGACAAACTGTAAATACACATTTTAAATCATGAGCAGGACAAACTGTAAATACACATTTTAAATCATGAGCAGGACAAACTGTATATACACATTTTAAATCATGAGCTGGACAAACTGTAAATACACATTTTAAATCATGAGCAGGACAAACTGTAAATAAACATTTTAAATAATGAGCAGGACAAAATGTAAATACTAATTTTAAATCATGAGCAGGACAAACATTTCAACTTGAGCATTATATCAGTATTCTGATGTCATGTCTCCTGTTGTGTCCATATTACTGTTAGCACTAACTAGCACACATCATTAGACTCTGGTTTGGTGATTAAATGTTAGACCTTAAAATTTTGAACATATGACAAATTTTTCTGGATACGACTATGCAGTTAAAGACAATAAAAATTGCTGGACTAACCACCAGTGTGCCATGTGATTTGAGACAATTCACCTCAAATCTGTTGAACAGAAAATACACAGAGTGCTGCAATAAACTTACCTTCTCCATGCTTGTCAGTGTACTGGAAGGCTTGAACCAGCCTTACAGTTTCATCCACTGAGCGCCCAACTGGTAAGTCGTTGATGGTAATTTGCCGTACTATTCCCTTTGGGTCAATAATGAACAAACCTCTAGAAGGTAGAAGTAAATGTTACGATTATTGTAGGGGTGGATTTTTTATTTTCACAAACAAAAATCAAAAACACAAATATTACATATCAAGAAATAAAAACAGATGGATAACATTTGGTAGCATGCATTAGACAACTCAAATTCCTCTCTTAAACTTAATGTAAACTCAGATTTTAACTCTCAGTACCAAAAGAAAAAAAATGAAAATGTATTTCCTAGAATCAAACTTAAGCCCCAATACCCATAAAGGTAATATACCAGACCTCAGTACATATTGCATGTAGCATAATTGATTTTTTTATATAAATCTTTAACATTAATTATTTTGTACTTTAAATCTCAATATTAACTGTTTATGAGTGTGAATGACTAATGTTATTTTCAACCTCAATCAATGTAATTCTTAATTTAAATATGCATATTGATTATTTTATGACTGTGAATGAAATTTACAGCAATGTATTTATTTACTTTTCTCCTGTTATACTAAGATCTGTTAAATAATTTTTTTAAATCGTTTAAGCAGGCTAAAAAAATAAAATACAATTAAAAACATATGGTGAAACTAGTTTAAAAATCAAAGAACTACAGACCTGAGGGCTACTCCAGAATTCTCAATAAGAACACCATACTCTCTGGCTATGTTTTTACTGAAATCAGCCAACAGAGGATACTTCAGGCCACCCAGACCTCCTTGCTGTAATACAAAGTTCAAAATTGCCATCTTAACTTGGCTTTTACTACACACAAAAACCCAAAATAATAAAGGGAAATAATCAGTAATATTGGAGGGAATCTACTCCACCATAATAAAGTATTGTGTCAACATGTTAATCACTATATGGACCATTGACGTCAACCTATTTTTTTTCTATCTGGATGTGCTTCCATAGCCTTTATCCATTCAAGAACAATCTGCAAGGCCAATGTTTAATTTTGGATTTTTCTCTCCTAAAATGATTGCTGTCCCCAGCTAACAAGCCTCATCTGGCAGAGGGTTGAACTCTAGTTAGCAGTTATACTATATATATATGTTGTTCAAACCTGTAACCTTCCACTTTAACCTTACCTTTCTAGGAGTGTTGATCCAGGCCAAATGGCTGAAGTGTGAGTCTGTGGACACGCCCACCACTGCAGTGTCCAGCTGCTTAAACTTGTCAATGTTGTCACTGAAGGCAATGATTTCTGTTGGGCACACAAATGTACTGAAACATAGACACAAATGTTTTAGGTTTTTACTTCATTCAGTAAACAAAATACTTCACAAGCATTTGATCAAAGATGATACTCTATGTGCAACAATAGTGTCTGTAAAAGGTGTTCATGCAACAAAGGATATATTCATAAAAAGGAGAATGTAACAAAGTATATATTTTATGAAATTCAAAACAATGGTCTATTGGAGGCACTGGACTAGACTAGGTCTGTAATGATTCAACAGACTCAAAAGAAACAGGAATATCTGTAAGTTAAATGTAAATTCCACTGAGATTTTTTTAAGTTATTGTGAAGAGTAAATGAGTAAAGTTCCCTTTTTGAACCTGACAGTCCGTAGGACATGTGAAGTAGAGTTCACCTGTTTTTTAATCTTCTGCATAAGAAGAGATAATGTTATCAGAACTGCTCAGCTGTCTTTACTTTCCCTAACGAGAGTTAGGTACCCATCAGAGCTGGGAGGAATCAGGAAAGTTCTACTGACTTGAAACCAGATTCTAAATCAAGACTTTTGGAAGAGTAAACTGACGAAAAAGCATTCGCCATAGTCTTACTTAATCAGGGGACTAGTATAACAGGAATTTAGAATAAAAAACGAATGCATCTGAGTAGGGAGGAAATTTAATGTATTATATTAAGCCCATAAACAGCAGATGATACTCACAAGTCTAAAGGATAGAAGAAAAGAACCAGGTACTTTCCTTTGAAGTCAGACAGTTTAAGTTCCTTAAACTGGCCATCAACAACTGCTTGCCCACTGAAATCTGGTGCAGGCTGCTGCACTTGAGCAGCATACTGCAGCTGTATTCCTGTAACAGAAAATTGACTTTTTAAGTAATTATATTCCTTTAATAAAACATTAACTTAAATCCTACATTTTACTTTGACTTCCTAAACATCAATCAGCACCATTTACAATTTATAGTCTTTTCTGTATTCTTATAGTATGAAACACTAATAACAAATATTAAATAAAATGTGAGTTAACATAAGATTATTGCAGTCATTTTTTAATAAGATAAAAGCTAAATATATGTATATATATATATATATATATATATATATATATATATATATATATATATATATATATATATATATATATATATATATATATATATATATATATATATATATATATATATATATATATATATATATATATATATATATATATATATATATATATATATATATATATATATATATATATATATATATATACCAAAGTTAATTGGCATTGTTCAACCTGCACTGTGTAGGTATGTCGACTTCTGTTTCACTAGTATAAAACATGTAAACTACTCAATCTTCTACTAGGGGTATAAAGGGTCAACTACAAAGAAATTCAAGCCTTTTACTTTTATTAATATAATTACCTGTTGTAAAATGGCGAGGTGCCAAGCAGTCCTTAACTTTCATACAAGTGTTTCTTTGTGAACAACGTAATGTTAGAAATCTGTTTGCAGCTTGGCAAAATTGCCCCTATATGAAGAATTAAAAAAAACCCGGTTATCTATCGTTTTAGGTACGTAAAATCGCCAGCGGCTAGTAATGTACGAAAAAGTTACCTCATTGTCAAGGCTTTAATAGAAGTATACTGTGATATATTTGTGTCAAATATTATAGATAAATGAATAATAAACCTAAATCAATGGCTAAACTTATCAATATAGGCCAGAAATTAACTTTAAACAGCAGTGTTTGCGAGCAAGATTTGCTATATAAACAGTAGCCATTTGTAAAATAGAGTGGATTCCCCTGAATCTGCTATAAGTTTACATGAAAACAAACTTAAACAAGATGTCTGCTATAGTAAATGAGCATGGTAGCATCTGTTGGAAACATCGCTAGTCTTCATTTATTACTGAAAAGTTTTAATTCAATTGTTTAAAAACATGTACAGAAATGAACATTGAAACAAGGAAATATTTTTGTATTTTTCAAAACATAAACCCTCTTCAAAATGTGAAATAATTATTAAAATTTAAGGAGTCACCTGTTTTTCACATTACTAGTCGTGGGCAATTTTACGTATCTAAAACGATAGATTACCAAAAAAAGTTAAAAAAAACTATGGCTATAGGCCTACTACTACTAATAATTATTATAATAAAATTAAATAGACCTAGGCCTACTGTTAGTACTAAATTTAAATTACTAATAAATAAATAATAATAATATTATATAATATATAGTATTATATAGTAATATATAGGCCTATAACTATAATATACTATAACTATATATATTCTAGATAGATCTAGGCCAATTCAATATAATTAATAAGTTTATAGGGCCTAATGATATAAGATTATATTATAATTATAATATATAATATAGGCTAAATAGAGTCTATATCAATATTATAATTATATAATATAATATTATAATGAAATCACCTTGACAGCATAATGACTGAAAAGTTTTGCAGTAAGAGAAGCCATTTTTTGGTGATTTTAGCAGATCTATATCTGACAGACGATATAAGGCAAGTTCGATTAGTTTTCTGAGACTCCTGCAGAAAAATATCTTATCTAGACTAGACTAGATTAGAACTACTAGATCTAGATCTTTTATGTCTAGTTTACTAGTCTAGTGAAAATGTTACGTAAATAAAACCCAGTCAGGGGTCACTCTCAATTTCAACTTCCGATTTTATTTTCTGGATGAATGCCCTTGAGTATCCCTCTAAAACACCTGTTCCCAGCCTTTTTTCGTGTACCGACGCCTCCAGAGTTTCTTCCAGGCATCTCTTCGGCAGAGTTTCTTCCAGGCATCTCTTCGGGTGCCCCTCCCCCCCCCCCCAAAGAAAGTCTACCGCCCCCCCCCCCCCTGGAAGTCTGGAAGAAACACTGGACGCCTCATTATAAAAATTTAAGTGACCCTCGATCCGAATTAGAATGATTTGTGATAACTTATTAATCGGGCAAAAATTATTCCAAATCTAGATTTATCAAAATTTCGACGTTTTACGCGTAATCGAGTCGGAAAAACTGGGCTTTGCAATTCTGTCCGTGTGTGTGTATGTGTGTCGTCTGTGAACACGGTAACGACTACAGTTACAGCTAGGTTCAAGAAATTTTATATATAAGTATATTACATCAAATTTGTAGTTCTGTATCAACTTCTGAGAAATTTCCGGTAGCAGATAAACGAACTTTCACATGTAAGTAAAATATCTAATTCTCTGCCTTCTGACACATTTTGAGTAATTTCCGTTAACCGGAAGTAGTACTTTACGCTATTTCCGATTTTTCAAAAAACGCATACGAATTTATAAAGTAATAATATTCCGTACTATTAATATTATACACACATTGTTTGCTTTTCACCTGATGCGCAATTCTTTGTTCTACCATATTCTATAGACTGATAGTGCATAGTGTGCATAGTGAATAGTAAAAATGTTTATCTATAGTCAGTTATCAATACTGGTGGATTAACTCTAATTAATCATTAATTGAAATAACGCGAAATAAGGTTTAAAATTCGTTTTCTAACATTGCTTTTTTATATTGTAAAAGCGTGACGTCGCACGATCTGAACCACCAGCCCCCTCCCTCTCATCACACACCGTCACAAAATTACGGAACCCGCCCCCCCCCCCCCTTACGAGTGTGACGTCATTTATGGACGACCCCTATGATGAAGTACTGAGAAGTAAAACGATGAAAACTGTCAAAATTTCATGTGATTTTTGTGCACGATTAAATTACTTCATCTATACTTCCGTACAATAGATTCTATATACGAGAAAGTAACAAGTTAATAAAAAGTCTAGTGACAATTTAAGCGCAATTTCCTTATGTTATCCATAACAATTTTTAATTTTTTGTGACCGAACGAAAGGATTTTTTTTGCGCTAAAAACCTACACGATGCTCAGTTTAAAAATATCATCCTAGGCCTACACGATGCTCAGTTTAAAAATTCTTAATTAATTTTTCGTGACCGAACGAAAGGATATTTTTGAAAACTTTCTTCGGCAATATTGTTCTAAATTATGGCAGGAATCGATTGGTAAATGTTTCAAGTCGCTAAGTGGTCTGGTTGCCGAGATATGGACAAAAAACTGCATTTTTCCGAGGGTTTTTTTTGGCTTTTCCGGGAAATCCAGGAAGGAATTCCGGGAATTTTTTTGGCCCACAATCATCCTCGGAACTTGCTTAATATATTTGCTTTTTTAACTAGTCCTCGGTATTGCTTCGTTGAGGAGGAGATACGACTTAAAGCTGCGGACACACATCCATCCATCCATTCATTCATTTATCCATCCAGAAATGATGAGTTAACAATCGCAATAGTCCGTATGGAAATTGCGCTTAAAAAAAAAAGAAAAGTAAAAAATTGGACCATACACATTTTGACCAAAAATATATACACATTCATATTTTTAAAAACTTAAACTCATTTAAAGAAAAAAAACCTTAATTTTGCGCAAACTTTTAAACAAAAAGTATTATATATTGAATACAAATAATTTTTAAAAACTATGGCGATCCAACCTTATAAAATTGAATTATAGTTCGTGCATAAATACGAACGAAAGTTGTTTATAAATAATAATTTGATTCTCTAAATTCAAAACTAAAATTTCTTTTGGAAACTTCCGCTATTGAGTCACAAAACAAATTAGTCTGTACTGTTACTCAGTAGGCCCGTTATAACTAACTAAACTATTAATAGTAAAATACGTCTGGTTTGAAATACGCGATTTAATGATACTTAAATTAGAAACAAACACATCATATTGTTCTAATGACTGCCACGTGCAGTTTTTATTAAATATAAGCCCGTAATCATAGATAAAAACCTGTTATTTTTAAGGAGGTCTTAGTCTTTTTTATTAAAAAGTAGGCCTACTGTAACTTATATTTAACTGCCTCTTATAAATAACAAACTTCACAACTACTGCTGGCTGCTTGTGTTCATTCACTAATTTACTAAGTCCAACTTCAACTTAGTCAAGCCCGGTGAATATGATTGATTGCGTCTCTTATATGACTGATGACGCTTCTACTGGCTGTTGAGCTTCAATTTGACTAAATCAATAAAGTTGAATAATCTTCATCTTTTTGAGTTTGAACTGCATCCAAAGCTCAGGCAAAAAATTAGACACCCATCATCGTCATCACTGAGTGATAAATTCTTTCAAATTTGCTGCTTTGCTGCGTTCCTGGTTCTGTGACTTGTGTGAAATCAAGACGACTTGAAATTTAAGAATATGTAAGAGTACTAAGAAGACTAACTCACTAGTCTAGATCTACTTACTACTATACTTAACTATACTATAGTTATAGGCCTAACTGTCTATAATTATTAATTAGATCTATAATCTATCAGTATTATTACTATTATCAGACTCAGATTAGATCTATAGTAAAATAGTATAGATCTATACTATATCAATTATCATTCAGGAAACATTGCCTTTAAATTTAACTAAGAATTTACTTTGAAATGTGTTCAGATTTAGAAACATTTTGTTTGTTATTAATTTTAATGTTATTGTGTCTATTGTTGTTGTTAGTGGGGGGGGGGGGCACTTATGATTGTTTAAGCTTCACATTGAAATGTCATCCCTTAATTATTTAATTAGGCCTAATTAGTCTTAGACCTAATTTTTCTACAAGCTAATGTTAAGATTAAATTTTGTAAAGCTACAACTGAATTTTTCATGTACTCACTCATTATTTAGTATTTAGATCTAGCTATTTCTACTTACTAAGTAATTAGGCTTATTGGCATTAGTAATTAGTAGATCTAGGCTGTATTGCAAGTTAAGTTTAGTCATTCTAAATTCTTGAAAAAAAATATATCTAGTGCAAGGGTAGGTAGTTCAGTTTTGTTGGGAAAGAAAGCTAACAAATTTAAGCTAAATGAAAATATAATCATGGTAATTTGAAATGATCACATAACTTCAAGCATAGCTTGCTGTTTGAAACTTTAAAATTGTTCATTAGAGCTGAACTACATGTTTGAGTTAATTTTTTTACTTGCATGTTTAGAACATCTATAGTATAGAGTCAAAATGAAGCTGTATTCTATTGCTGTTCTGCTTAAAACTCCGGAGGGTAAAGGAAAAATGTTAACTTCAAAGAATGAATTATCTTCATTTGGATACTTTCAAAAAGCCACGTAAGCAATTCTTCTTTATTTTTAAATTTAAACTAGTTTGTATACATGGGGTGCCTGTTGATGTACTTATTAAATTGTCAACACAGTAACGATATCCTTACATAGTAACAGAGGTCCAGCATTTTAGCCATTTAATACCTAACTGTTTTTTAAGAATTGAATTTTCTAGGAAAATAAAGTTTACAAAGCAGTTTTAAAAATACCATGTGACACCATATGTAAACACCACTAAACTATATAAAAGTGTTGCCTATACATTTGATGTGATTTTTGTAGTCAAGAACTTTTAAACTAAACCACAATTTGATTACCAGTCATGGATTTTAAAAATCAATTTAAAAAAAAAACAGTGTCTTCAAAGAGCATGTTTCAATGTACCATTGTAGAATAAAGTTACACCACATTTATAAAAAAAATGTTTTCAGTGTTGGAGAGTTCATGATATTCACCAGCAAAATCCTTGTTGAAAGAACTGCCACTGCATCTCGTGCATCTGTCAAAGAGCAAGGTATTTATAATGACATTTTGTTTATAACAATTGTGTTCCAAGTTGTAACATGGCCTTAGTAACATGGCTTTCAGTGTTGTAACACTTGGGTCCTTATTTTCTGAATTAATCAATATTTTTAAGGAATGTTTTTTTTTTTTTACTTCTGTGCATTCATTATTTTCCTCTTTAAAATACAGAGTATATCTGTCATGTGTATGTTAGAAGTGACAATTTGTCTGGTGTTGTCATAGCTGACCATGAGTACCCACAAAGAGTTGCACACACCCTGATTAACAAGGTAATTTATACATATTTAACAATTAGCCAGTCTGTGACTGTCTGGCAATAACGTTAGGGAAAAGATTACTTTTAAATGCATAGTATAGTGGTTTTATAGTTTTTATCAAAGCTGTATCTTATAAAAGTACATGTTGTATACATATGTTACTCAGGATCTATATAGAATAACTTTTTTAAAAATGAATTAAATTATAGACCTCAAAGTATATTTTATTAATGCTTCAATAAACCTTTTGTAAAGAAAAAAATTGTTTAAGGTTAAGAAGATTTTCGTAATCATTACTTTATAACTTACAAATAGAGACATAACTCAGAAAAAGTTAGTTTAGCAGTAGTGTGTTAACTTTCTCCCTCAAAATGTGTTTCTGTTCAGTTCTTCTGACATTTACCTGCTGTAGAAACAAATTATACTTTTGAGAATAATGGATCCTATTTGAAATTAAACTTCGTTTCTTTTCTAAATTAGTTATTAATCTCTGCAGATTTTAGAGGAATTCCAAGAGAAGTGTCCCAAGACACAATGGGCTTCTGTGAAAGAAAAGTAAGCACGTTTACACAAAAAAATAAAATTATTAACAGTTGTTTTTAAAAAAATGTTTGATTAAGTTTAGTGTTGACATAGCTTAAAGAAAAGTTTTTTGAAGATGTATCTAACATTTCAAAACTGTTTAGTTGTAGGTCATTATTTTAAAGTTTAGCTGCTCACTTGAATCTTTTGCTCAACTGATATTCTCGCTTTGGTTAGAATGTAATAATTGTATTGCTTGTATGTTAAAATTTTAACAATGTCACTGTATACCACAAATGGTACTGCTCCTTTAGATGTTTGTTTTAATGTGTACTAAACATGGCAGTTATTCTTTTACCTGATTAAATTTTACTTATTTCATTATGTATCAAATAAATGTTTATAAATCTTGTTTCAGTGAAGCACCATATCCACAGCTTCAAGAGCTCCTGCAAAAGTATCAGGTATTAAAGGTTTTTTTTTAAAAGTGCTTCAATTATTCTGCTAATTTTGTTTTCTCCCCTTTAAAACAACAATTCTGAATTATTTTTAAGAATCCTAAAGAGGCTGATGCCATGACAAAAATACAGTCAGAACTGGATGAGACTAAGATTATACTGGTAAATGATAGTTTCTAGTTATTGTGTTGTCTGTCTTGTTGGTTATTTGTAAATGCAAGGTATGTAATGGGTTGTTTTTTTTCTTCTGCTTATTCACATGTATTACAATATATTTTAACTTATTAGACTTTTATAAGTTTCTAATAACTGTTACTAACACACAACAGATATAACTGTAAATGTTCAAATTTTAAATATTTTTCATTTAAATATTTTAACTTGTGATAAAATTGTCTCTAATGTGTTTCAATTTTTCAGCACAATACAATTGAAGCAGTGTTACAGAGAGGTGAAAAATTGGATGACTTGGTGGAAAAATCTGAAGGGCTTAGTATGCAGTCTAAAACATTTTATAAAACAGTAAGTAAAAGATAATTTCTTATCATATACAAGGAAAAAAATAAAAATTAACTCCACTAGTTTGCAATGTGAATTCACTCTTTTTGAGACAATGAGTGGTAACTGACCGTATGGAAATTCCAGATCTTCACATAATAACCACCATAAATGAATTCTCTTTATTATCTGGCCAAACACCACAACACAGTAGGTGTGTCTTGATGATGTATGTGTTATCATAGAGAAAGTTATCATAGTCAAGATATAGAATTAACCCAAACAGATTTAAATAGAAATGTAATGAATTCAGTCCCTTTCATTGAGAAATTGCTCAGCATAAAAATGAAAAATGATTGGTTAAAACAGACATAGAAAGAATTTTAGCGAATGAAGCAAAAGCTATAAGCATTCTCTTGACCCAGTTCATCTCCCAAAAAATTATTATAATGAGAGAATTGTATAAAAAAAAATATTAAAAAATAAATTTGGATCCTACAATGTATGCATCAATAAAAAATGTTAATATACTTTTTTTTGTTGTAAAACTACAAAGTAGCTTATATTAAAACACATTTTTTCCATCTCAGGCAAAAAAGACCAACCAGTGCTGTTCTATACTCTGAATGCTGTATATTTTGGAAAGAAGAATGTAGTATTATTTTTTTTCTTTTACTGAAACAAGCTCAATGAAATTATTGCTGCTGTAGTAATGAAAGAATCAATCTGTACGTCTATTTAGGCCAAGAGCTTCCCTCTAAGTGTGAGAAAAATTTCATTACGTTTATTTTTTATTTCGGAGTAAAGATTGCAGTTTTACAGAAGTGATATGTTTTTAGGAAAGAGTATTGTATTGTTACATGAAGTATGTGATATATTTTTTTGTAAGTAGAAAGTCTGTTGTTTTTTACGTAAGAAATCTTTTTGCCAGTCATTTTTTGTTCACAATTTTTAGATCTTATTCTAATAACAATTTTACCTACTGAATATATTTTATCCACCTTTGTTTCATCATCAACACGGAAAAGGAGTTTATGCTTGTTTTGTAATATAAAATGTAGTTAACAATAAGCGATAGCTGCTAGTTAAAAATAATTTGAAATGCAGTATATAAGATCCTTTGATTGTTTGTTAAAACAATCATTATAATGATTGGCAAGACATTGTTTTTTTTTTTAGCTCTCTTACGTTTTAATATCAAAGAAAGTAATCACTTAAATTTAAACAAAATGTTCTAATTTGAGTGTGTACATTATTTTAGCTCTAAGTGTATATTGCTGATAAATTGTGTTTAATTTGCATATTGTTATTAAAATAATTTGTTGCAAATAATTTTTAATGCCATTAAAAAAACCTTGCAATAAACCTAAATACACATTTTAAGCCACATTTTCTTGAAATAGTCAACAGACATCAATATGGTAAACATCTCACTAGTTAGGTAGCACATTCCATGGTCATTCAGTTGCTGTTTGTGCATCTCTTGTACATCACCAGGTCCCCTTAGATTCAGACACTTTACTCTTCAGTTATATTAAATAAGCAACTTCCTTAGCTTACTTATCATCTTGATGACAATAAGTAAGTTGCTTTTGTGTAAATGTAAATCCTACATTTTTTTTTTCGCTCTGTGAGTGAACACTTGCATTTCATGAATGGAAATATTTTGTGGTAAATAAAGTAAAGCATGTCCCAATTGTGAAGTGTTTTGTTATATTGCAATTTGAATAACATTTTGTTTTTTAAATACTGTGTTCTAGACTGTATAGTATGTATAGAATAGCTTTCATAACAATGTTTTGCTTTTGACATACAAATTAAAAAAAAACCTATTACTTTTAGATATGTGATTATTCATATATCTTCTACTTAAAAAATGCCTTCAACATGCAGATTAAATCAAATACAAGGAAAAATGAGCCATTGGTTTCTAGTTTGCTCCTTGATAAGCCATGGTGTTCCAGCATAAATAGCCATAATGATTGGTTTTGTAATGCTGAAGAAGATGCTTTCATTATTAATCCAGGATTTCTGTCAGGGAATTCATTTTTCCCAATAAAAATGTTATCTATGTCATAAAACGAGAAATGAAGGCATACATTTAAAAAAATAGAAATAAAGTATTTCATAAGTATGAAAATATTTAATTTGAATGTGAGGCTGATTATGTAATCCTTTTTTTTAAATAAAATATTTATTTCTTCAAAAACTTTATACTCAAATTTATGAATGATTTTTAATAGTTACTTTTACATTTGAAATAGCATACATTAGAAATTACTATTTAGAAAAATCTACTTTCATTTATTCCCCAGTATATATACTTGAAAAGGCAATAAGGTACTGATTCATGAGAACAAAGACATAAGTACAACATGTGCAATAGATTAGTGGGCATATCTGTTGGGTGCTGTTTTATACTCATCATTTTAGTGTTATAACTGTCAAACATACCTCTGAAGCACCCTTCAGTTGGGCAAGTGGACATCTCAAGTGTTTATTGATAATTCCACTAATTCTGATAAAAATTACTTATCATATAACTTCATTTCAGTTTTGATACTTATTACATGACATAAGTTGGGAAGATAGCTAGACTTAATGGTGCCACATACAAGCCTTCATATGGAGGAAAATAGATGACTTAAATAGTACAGTAACATCTGTTGTGACCTTGGAAAGGTTTGTTTTGATAAGGCTGAATGTTGTACTGTACAAGTTAACAAGATTGAATGAACTCATTCATGTCTCTTATTACTATCAAGATATATTTGACAGAATGTTTTAAACATTGTTTAGGGCAGATACCTTGAAAATGTAACCACACTGTTGCTGCCTGCTTTAAAAATCTTCTTAGGTAATTGCAGGGGTGCCACTTTTCCGGGATATCCCGGATTTCCGGATTCGAGAATCATATTTTTTTCCTTTTCCGGATTCGCAAGATTTGAGTTTGAAAATTTCCGGGTTTGCAGTTTAAAAAAAATTTAGATCGTTTTAAGCTTGAAAATTTTGGCATTGTAAAAATTGTTTTTATCAACACTCCCGCTAATAGCCTTTTCCGAAAAAAATGAATAGTAAATGACGTCAGCAACAATCTCATGCGTGCGCCAAGGACCAAATAAAAACTTTTTGATGTCATTCGTGGTGTGGCTGTCTGGCTATTTTTTATGACGATATGGGTTAGGGGTAAAACTCGCATTATTTACGTTATGTCATCAATGGGATACCGCTAGGCTGTGTAATAAAACAACTAAATTCTACAATTACTAAATCTAGATCTAGCTCACTAGCATCGCCGATCGTCTTTTAAAAAAAACAAAGATTTTGCTCCGATAAAAAAAAATTTTTTTTTTTGTATTTGGTATTACAAAAAGAAAAGAAAAAATCTATTTGGAGGACTATTTTATGTATGAAATAGAACTGTGCTGTTTTCACTCAACTTTACCGTCACTTTTTACCACCTCGTACCCGCTTCTTCAAGGTCGCGCTGACCGTAAGACCTACGTCACGAGACCACGTGAACACAGTCTGAGTCGTGTCTCTCGGTCAAGGCAGTTCTACAAGTACAAGCGCTGTTTAATTTTAACGTGGTTATTTTTAATTCAAGAAAAAAAAATTAGATCTGCATCGTTTTATATCAGTAAAAAAAATATGTAGGCCTGCTATAATTTAGTTACACGATCTAGCAGGGTCTACATCTAATTTTTTTTTTACTTTGGTAAAACGTCATTGCAAATGTTTAAACAACCTTGAAAATAGCCGCTATCACTGCCCCCTCCCAACCGCTTGTAAAAAAAAATCAGCTTTTCACTTAGTCGGGCGGCTACATCTCTGACATGAGTATTACTAGCGTAGTTACTTCTAAAATTATTTTTAAAATTAAATTAATTCTGTTATTCCGCGATATGACCTTAAAACTTCCACAATATTTCTTCACGTCATCATGTATATCAAAGGTGGGGGCATTGGGGTCGTTCATAAATGACGTCACACTCGTAGGGGGAGGGGGGTCCGTAATTTTGTCATGAGGGGGAGGGGTTCAGATGGTGTGACATCACACTTCTGCATTATCGAAAAGCTATGTTAGAAAACTAATTTTAGCCGTTATTTCGCGTTTTAGAATATTGTTTCAATAAAGTGTAATAAGAATTGATTAAAATACTCTATGTTGACAGAGGTCAGACAAGATTTTTGGAAAAATATCGTATTGTAAGAAAAATTCGACTGCAATTTTTAGGGGGGGGGGGGTGTATGTTGAGGTGTGACGTCATTTTAGAGGGTGGGGTCTGGCTTTTTGTGACGATATGTGACCGAGGTGAGGTGGGAGGTAAAAATCGTCAAAAAAGCGTGACATCATTTATGGATGACCCCATTGGTGTTGATTGGGAAAACAGGGTTTAAGGTTTTTGTTGTGGCTGTTAATAATTAAAGCCTTGAATAGCTACAGTAAGTCAACCCTGTATTTTAATACAGTGGCAATCTTATTAGGGGTCTGCATATAGTGGGCTTATTATTCAACAACAAGACATAGAGTTTAGCAAAATATTTGTTACTTAACAGTTGGCTGACTACACACTTTAACTCAAGCTAGGAAGTTCTAAAAAATTAAATAGTTATGTTATAAAAGCTGTCTGGGGGGGGGGGGGAGTTCTACAATAGCACATTATGGGGTAGGCCTAGAGATGGGAGTAACATTGTAAACTAATTTTGTTGTAAGCACAATCCTTTAAAGATTAATTTTTATTTGAAGCTTGTTACAAAGAAAATAAATCCATTTTAAAGACATGTAAATTGAACATAATAATATATGAATCAAATGTCTCAAAAAATAATGAAATAACAGTCCATTTTATTTTGAAATTCCGCGCGGAATTAAGTTTCAGGGTTTCAAAAATTTCAAATTTTAGTTTCAGGATTGGTAAAATTTTGGGATTCATTTTCAGGATTCACTTAAAAAATGAGTGGCACCCCTGTAATTGACACCTGCAAGCAAATAAGCACACTGAGAATGAACCCAATAAACCTTTTCTAGCTCAAATATTAAGTGGAGCTCATACATCAAGTAATTCAATACACATTGTCCCAGTGATTTTGACATTTGTTCTGTGATACACGGTAGAGAGGAAATTGGGTTATGTCCTTTTCATTCTCCACATACATATGTAATATTTTTGTATGAAGCCTTGTTTACGCTACAATACATTCACTGTTAGTTACAGTTTAAAAGGGCTATCACTTTTTGTTTTAAAAGCCAAGAATATTTGCACAATTTTTGCTTATCTGGGAATTAAAAATGAGTTAATTTCAGCTTTAGGTTTATTAATGAATGTCAGTTCTCCAATTTGTAATGCCATGTAACTGTTTCTATAAGACATTCTTTTATCCTAGCTAGAAATTAAAAAAAAAGAGACATGACGTGTGTTCTAAAGTTAACTAAGCCTTAACAGAAGTGGAAGAAATTACAATCAATAGCTAATATTTGCCTAAATGTTGCTGAAACCAACATTTTTATTGATCCCATGATAACACACAAAACTTAATACAAAAAATAACAAGCAACACTTTTTTTCTTCTCAACTATGGATAATGTAATTAAATTTTCAACACAATATAAAGACAGCGGAAACACGAATTGTTTTGTAAAACAGTGCCACAGGTGGGTTGTCTCTTCCAGTCATCCCCAGCCAACATACTCTAGCATTTATACAATTGTTTTCATATCCAAAATCTCCGTTGCATTAAAAGAAAATGGTAAATATTTAGCACCTTAAATGCAATTGCCTGATAATTTCATACATGTTCGTACAGAATGTGCTATTAGTAAAAAAAAATATAACCAAAAATATATTTGCAGAAAATTTTTAAATGAATGTATCAAAAAGTTGAATGGTGACCAAGTTACTTATGGGTGACCAAATGAGTCAAATATTTAGCCAGTCAAAAAGTTTTTCATGACAAAGTTACTTGTGAGTGACAAAATACTTAATCAGTCAAAAAGTTGTTTCCAGTGACATTCAGCATAAACACATCATTAGATGTTACTTGCTTCTCTTTATCATACAGACTATTCAGCCAAAAACTATTCTTCACAACAACAGAATAAAAATGGTGATGTTTGCCACTAAAAAAGACTGCCAAAACTGCATTGTGAAAATCTCTGTAGGTTATTGCCTCTATGACACATGATCAAGGAATACAGTTACAGCATCAGGGTCATTACAGTGTATTAACAACAGCAATACAGTTGATTACATCTCATGCAATGATAGAGGAATAGTTAAGTCTTTTAGCCATTTTTTTTCTAAAAAGAAAAACTATCTTTTTACACAGGCATTATATGTTGAAATAAAAAGAGTTTAATATGCCATTTATTTTGAAGCTGAATTTTATTTACAACAAATGGCACTCAGTTCAGTTGGCTGTTCCCAGCCAATTCAACACAATCTTAAAGAGGTAAAAATTATTTACATTTTAGTTAGTTGGTTAAAGCAGGCAAACTTCCGAGAATTTTTATTGTTGGCCTGCAACATGTTCCCCATACATTTACAGCTATGTATCCCTCACGACTTTTAAATCTGTAATATTAATAATATAAATGAGCCCTTTAATATTTTTGTAATAACATTTCTAATATTAACTTTATCACAAGAAGCAAAAAAAAATAATTTTGAAAATATAAAATATTTCTGAGCAAAAATATATCGCCAAGTTTTTAAGTTCTGTTTGAAGGAATGCTACTTGTATTGTGGTTATACGAAAGAAAAAACTGCAAATACAAAATCTCTGTGAAGTTTAGTTAGGAAAATTACAATGCATTATTTTCAATACCATCCAAATTCCAAGAAGGACTTGTATCAAATTTTTTTTTATCTGATCATGTTGAATTCTATGTTAAAATGTAACAATGTATATAAGTAAAATAAATTTAATTTCTTAAAACTGAACTAAAATAATATCTTAATGTATATAAGATTTTTCTATTGTTTACAGAATGTATAAACACAGTGTAAGCAGTAGAGTTAAAGTAATGTTGTGAGAAATATCTCAACACTGTGAGTGATGTGATAACTGAAAAACTTAAGTCTTCAGCCTATCTTTATAAGGTACATTTGATGTAAAATACATTCTGTAACGGAAAAGAAAAAAAAACCTGCTGATAGAGACAAAAGGAAGCACTGTACAGAAATATTGCTTATTTCTTTCTCCCCCCTCCCCCTCATTGATGTAATTAATTATTCTCCATGTCATATTGTAGCATTTACAGCATGCTGGTAAAAAAAAAATAATCATTGGGGCATGTCATATATCAATATGTTCATAGTATATGAAGTATTTTTATTATCATTTTTTTTGCAGTGATCTTATTTCTCCTTCAAGCTGCCTTCATTGAGAAGTGAAACCCTGATATGTGTTAAGTTTGTGTAAAGAATAATTATCAAACTCAAAGGTGCTGCCTCTTTCATACCATAACTAATTTAAGAGACCATACTTTATGTTATCACTGGTCTAAGATTTTCACATTGAACTAATACTGAACCTGAAGCATGAGAAAAACTTTTTTTTCTTTCAGAAAATTAAACATCAGTTTAATAACAATTTTTTAAAAACTATTAAAGAACAAAGCTTCAGATCTCTCAATAAGAAACTCTTTTAGAACACAAGTTCATATTCTTGATAAATTTCTAGTTGGTAAGAAATTTGTTTCAGCTAATTAAATCTTTCCTATGTAATAAAATAAAATATATTCGATGTTTTAACTTTGTTTAAAAAATTAATATTTGGATGTAATAACTGATTGAGTAAACTGAACAGCCGCACAGATTGAAATGGAATGAATGAATGAACACAGATTTCTGCCAATGAGGTTTGTTCTTAAGCATTTTTTGTATTGATCCTTGAGGAAGATTATTTAAATGATGCTTTCAAAATGTTGGGAATGCTGAAAACTTGTATAACAGAGCAGAGAGGGCCCCAAACATGCTTTATTTCTACTTTTTAAACACTTATTCCCTACAAAATGAACAAAAACCAATTTATTTGATGTGAAAATTTCTCATACTATGGACAAAGAAACAGAGTAAGTTTTTTAATTGACTGCCATGTTATTATTATTAACAGCATTCAGTATTTAAAAAATAAGATTTTAAAAGGTCAAAACTAACTCTTTATTTACATTTGTATATTTAATTTGTAACAAATTCCCCAATGTTTTTCATTTTTGTTTTTCTTAAATATTTTTTTGGGTTTAAATCATTTGTGAAAAAGTTTAAGAGGAGGGGTACAACTTAAAAGTTTTGGACTTTTTCAACAGTTCCTACGTAACTGTAACATAAAAATTGTAACTTATGTTAAAATATATTAAAAATAAAGCATTTTATTTATGAGACAGAATTTCTCATCAAATAATACAAACAGGAAATGTGTTGAACAATCCTAAGTTATGGAAGCTACAAGCATTTTGTCTGATGTGGCAGGATAATTGTGTAGCTGAGAGGACAACAAAATACCAAGATGAATCATAAAATTAGGAATATTAAGAGACAGTGAGGGTCAAGGTACATAGCTTCTAAAAGATGTAAACTTTGGTTAATAATTACCAAACAAATGCCATGGCATAAAGATATTTTCATTGTGCAGCAATACACTTCCTATGAACATCGGAATGCTATCATGAAACAAAAGCATGAAATTCTATCAATATGTTAAAAATTAGTATGGCTAAACAGTGAGTGGGGGGAAATGGGGAAACAACAAAAAGCAAGAATTTTTGTACAACCATTCAATTTAACATGTACAACTAAAATACCACTACATTTTAAGTTTTAAAATCTACCTGAATACAAATTTTATAATTGCAAATAAAGAATTATGACATGTCATTATGAAACAATTTTTCACTTTTTACAGTAGAATGCTCATCACATGCAAATCCCTGTCAAATGAACAAACTATATCTTAAAAAAATGCAGAATTTAATAGATCACAATACTTTTCACTGGTTGTTTTGAACTCGTAGAATTTTATGATAGAAATCTTTCAATAAAAAAACAATTAAAAAAAAAAAGGGTTATTTTTACATCTGTAGAAATCATGTACAGCACGGAGAAACAGACCATACCAGTTTTTTAATTACCCTAGCATCAGGTTAAAAAATACTTAAAAAACTGATAAGCTTTTGCATTTGGGTAGACTTAATTAACACAATTTACATTAGCACATCACTAGAGATCCAAAAGTCCTAAATATTATGAATTAGATTAACCGACTAAGCCATTTTTTTCAGTAAATAAATGTGGAAAATTTCACAAGTAACCTCTTTTGAAAATATACACTAGATCTAGTATGATAACTGTACTCAGCTCTTAAAGAATGCTAAACAATGCTTAGTTTTCTATACTGATAGATAAATAGCCCAAAGAATTGGGAAGACTCAAGGTCTTTAAGTGTAAACAATTTAAGATCCACTGGTATATTTATAATGTGTAGCATTCATAACTAAAACTAAAATACCATAGCTTATTAAAAAAACATTCAGTGGTTCTCAATCTGCTCTAAGTCTAAATCACTTATGGGAAAGAGCCCAACTCTGTCATCTGTCCTTGAATCATGACAATTACAATTATCAGCCTCATTCTCTTCTTCCTCCTCCTCCTCTTCCTCCTGTTCTCTTGCCATGAGAAGTGAAAAACTGGGTGATGAGTGATCTGGGGGTGTGAGTGGTAAAGCTACGGATGCAGCATGAATCAAATCAAGATGTTTTGTCATCACAGGAAGTTCAGAGTCCAGTGGCGAGCTAGCAATTGTATTGAGTGTGTGGCTTGTCATGTTATCCAGATAGCCATCTTGACCAGACAAATGGAGCTAGAATAAAAAATATACAAAGATAATTTGTGAAAACTTTTGGTCATTTTAAAGTCACATTACATTTGTCCTCACAACATCTGTGCTGATATTAATCTAGTTTGAAACTTGCATATCAACATTAAAACCTAGCACAATGATTCTGTGGGTGTTTAAAATTAAAATACATCTATTATTTTCAGCAAATATTGAAACAAGTCTGACCTTTTGATCACTGATTGGTGTATTCCATGGTTCAGAGCGCCTGTGAGAATGTGAGTAGGCAGTCTGAAAGTAGTTTTATAGATGTTTAGATCAAGTGATTCAATAATAATCTTTAGCTAACTAACTGACCCAATCAAATGCCAAGGAGACTTTGTACAGCAGTCAACAAAATTCAAGGTTAATGAAGTAGTACTAAATTTTTTTTTCATATTAAGGGCAAGTGGAGAAAAAATATTGCACCCCCCCCCCCAATAAAAGTTATTAGATGTATAGCAAGACAGATTTTTTTAAAAAGCTGTAATTCACATCTTAAAGGGTATTTCTAGAGTGGGGTGGTCAGAGGAGTAGAGTTTTAAAAAACAGGACAAAGGCTGAGAACTGGTCAAGAAAACATACACACACACATTCTTAAATCTCTGCCATATTTAACATCACCTTGGAAAGAAAGAGGGGGGGGGGGGAGAAGAGGGAACCCCTCAGGTGTGTGTGGGCGGTTAAAGCTAATAATTCCTAAACAGACCAGAGGGGGAAGTAATGTAGGAAATGAAGGCAGGCAACCATGGTGTAGCCCGTGATTGACACTTCAAGTGTTGGTGTGGTATTCACCTCCACTTCACCCAGTACACCACTAATCATAGCATGGCCAGCCACACAACATCTGGCCTCAATAGTTGTTATGTAGATTCTGACAGTGTACTTGCTCTACTGCCTATTTAAATCAGCTGTATATTCCTGACGTTTTTTTCCTTCCCGAAATAAAAAGGCCAGTACCCAAACTGTCCTGTCTAAACCAACGGGAATACTGCGTAGGCTTATTTATTAAAAAAAAAAGTTTCGTCTCCCTACTTATCAAAGACGTTACTGCGACCGTCAGGTTACCCTGGTGGGTACTCTATAGCACTGCTGCCGGGTGGGGGTGGTAGTTAATGGTATGACCGCGAGGTTTAACAGTTACCGCACGGGCGAGGTGTAGCAGCTATAGCAGCTCGTTAAACAGATTACCGTACAATACACAATTCATTCATCTACAACAAAAAACAAGAAACCTGTCACAGCAATAAAATAACAAGTGTCGATTAGAAATCATACGTTGGCAAACAAAAGTGGTGCTATATTAGAACGGTAAAACTCCGACTAAACATTTACAACCATAAATCTTTAATTCCTCGCTCAACCCAACTTTGGCTCTATTAGTGTTATTGCAGTAAATCATACTTGGGGAACACAGCGTGCAACTATTTTTTTCTTTTTTTTTTTTTAACAGGACTACAACGTTCATTCTACAAGTGTGTCATCGGCAAATGTGTGGCATTTTATCGATATTTATAAATCTTAAACAACTTCAAAGCCGTTTAAAAAAAATCCGAGCCTGTTATTGAGCACACTTGAGCCTCGCCAGTGAGCGAATGTATAATGACAAGCGTATATTGATCCACGCCACTGGAGTTTTCCTGCCCTAGTCCAAGGCTAGCTCGTGCACCCCCCCCCCCCCCTCTGTTGTTGTAACGACATAGCGTGAGTGAAGCACTCGCCTGACTTATCTCAAGTAAAACAGGACGCTACAGGAAACGAAAGGATCAACAGTTAAACCACCCTTTACAATCTGATCTAATTACAGAAGACAAACAATGCAAGTAGGGTAGGCCGCTGATCGACACAACTTAGGGAAAACAACCCCGACACACGTACACTATATTTATATACAAGAAAAATACACCTTATCTTACCCACCCCGTCTACAACAACACAAAAAAAAAAAAGGTTATGACAGTACGTTAGTCTAAGGGCGGGGTGTGGCGGGGAATCAAAGTATGATAAATGATTGAAGAGATCTGGGCTTGAAGATTAGAGCTGCATTATTCAAAGTGATCACCGGGTTGAGTTACTGAATCGTTTGTATGGGTGAGGGTTTAGAATTTCCGGAGTATTCAAGCGGCTTTTAAACTACACAGGCACGTGCTCAGACCGACGCACCGGCAATCTGATGAGCCGCATACGCTGTTGTGTCAACGTGGGCCAGATGGGAATGTGTGCGGTTAACTACACAGTCTGCGTTCAGAGGGAGCAGGGCAAATCAAAGCCACATTGCTGGTAACGGGAGACTGTCGTCAAGCTGCAGGAACACACACACAGCCAAGATGGGGATATTAGAAGGATGGACGGAACAACCCAACACACATACACACACAGTTGCTCCAACACACAGTCAACACGTCAATAGCTGCAGGAACACACGCACAGCCAAGATGAGGATATTAGAAGGATGGACGGAACAACCCCACACACATACACACAGTTGCTCCAACACACAGGCAACACGTCAATAGCTGCAGGAACACACGCACAGCCAAGATGGGGATATTAGAAGGATGGACGGAACCACCCAACACACATACACACAGTTGCTCCAACACACAGTCAACACATCAATAGCTGCAGGAACACACGCACAGCCAAGATGAGGATATTAGGATGGACGGAACCACGACACACACATTCACACAGTTGCTCCAACACACAGGCAACACGTCAATATCAGCAGGAACACACGCACAGCCAAGATGAGGATTGAGGATATTAGAAGGATGGACGGAACCACCGCACACACAGTTGCTCCAACACACAGTCAACACGTCAATAGCTGCAGGAACACACACACACAGCCAAGATGAGGATATTAGGATGGACGGAACCACCCCATACACACACTTGCTCCAACACACAGTCAACACGTCAATAACAGCAGGAACACACGCACAGCCAAGATGAGGATTGAGGATATTAGAAGGATGGACGAAACAACCCCACACACATACACACACTTGCTCCAACACACAGTCAACACGTCAATAACAGCAGGAACACACGCACAGCCAAGATGAGGATATTAGAATGATGGACGGAAAATATTTTAGCTACCAATGCTTTTATTAAATAAAGCAATTTTATGATTTGAGTTTCATCAAGTACCACTAAAATGTATGAAAACTCATAAATAAAATAAATAATTGAAGTACTACGACCAGTGTATGCCACCAGTGTATGCACTGAAGTTGAGTTCATATGATTCATTCAAAAGTTTTGTAATGCTAACCACACATAACTAAAAATACATGAGATAAGAAATAAACAGTGCATGAAACACAGACTCAATGTTATACTGGTGTATCAGGTTTGTAAAAATAAAAACTGTGATAAAGATTTAATGTATCAATGTGTGTATGTAATATATGCCTAGTGTCCAAAACGTGTTTCAGACAGTCATCTTTATATCAGGCGTAGTTTAAACCCTGATACACCAAAAGTAGAAAACTTTATATAAGACAACAAAATAGCCACCCATTTCTGACAATGTATTTTTAGTACTTTAAGGGCATAGTGCTGATCACACTATCTCTTCATATGCAGAGGTCACAGAAACAAGTCAACTCTACTTCACTTGCCCTATAGACCGTCAGGTTTGAAAAGGGAACTTTTTTTTTTTTACTTTAAGGACTCTAATTTTAGTCAGTATATAAAAGAATAGGGATACTGACCTATTAATTGTAGTTTTAAAAAAGAATTATTTTTTGTTCTGTGTTTAATTTAATTTGAACATTTTAAACCAATTTGAATTAGGTTTACTTCTATAATTATAAATGAGCGGACTATCTGCCTCCCCCCACACAAATGAACTATATCTTCAATTATTTATGTTGGAGTTAGTGAAAGCAATGTTTTTTAAAAGCAATTGCTTACCTCTGTCATTTTATTAAAGTTAAGTGTGGGTCTATCACAGTCACGCCGTCGTTTTTTGCCACAGCGGCGATGATGAAGAACACATGGTTGTGAGTGGCACCTGGGGATGCCACTGCTACAACTGTTGCTGCCATCCTGACTGCTGCAGCAGCTTGATGAAGGATCTATGCTGCCATGAACACAGGGCATCGACATAGTGGAGGAGGATGCAGAGATTCTGTCCTCACATGAAAGACTGCGGTTTTCCAAGACTCGTATCCTAGTCCGCATAGGGCTATAGTCCAACCAGGCAGATCCCAGGGAGCTGAAAGATGTATCACTGGCTGCAGAGGCTGGTCTGGGCACGGGGGACCCAGGAGGAGTCTGGAGGTCAGATGTGGTGTAATGTCCACTGTCCACGCTTGGTGGAGAAGGAACAACTGGGACAAGTTTGAAACCTGAGCTTAGTTTGGGCAACCACTTGCTGCTTTCAATGCATTGAGCAGATAAATTATGCCTGTCTTTTGTCTGAAAATTGCTAATGCTTCTTGGGGTCACAGCAATGGGCTTCCATATTTTGCTACCAGTGTCCTTAGAAGGGGCTGGCAAAACCATGGGGCCGTCTGGTGGGACGGATAATGATCTACAGTGCTTCTTTTTTGGGGGCGCCGTGGGAGTCCCTGGGGCGCTATCACAGCATTGACATGACTGTTTTTTGTGCAAACATATGGATGATGTAGCTTTTTCTGGGGGCCTAAGTACAGTCTTGACATCAGGGGCTCCAAACTTGTGTCGCCCCTGTCTCTCAGATTCCAGGGATTGTGCCCAGACATTTTTACCTGCAAGTATACAAGTTTGAAGAAGTGAAATAAATAGACTAGCTAATTAGGACAACAACTGCTATAAATAATGAAATAAAATTCTGTCTGTTGAAATGAGTGAGACACTAAAACACAACTCCAGAGAAATTTACCTTTGACAGAAAGGTTATTGGACTGTTGTTGTGAAGCTGTCTTGGTTGGATTATCTTGGGTCACCTGCTAGTAAAAAAAAAAGAAAAAAAAAATGATTTTTCTATTGTGCATTAGACTTCATCAAAATACAAGAAGGCTATTAAAGAAACAAAGAAAAAAAACCCACCTCCACCTGTTATAATCTATGAATTAATAATACAACAATAGCAACTTAACAGGTCAATTAAAATCAATTCTGTTGTCAAAAAGTTACAAAGTGAAATATCCACTTAAGAAGTTAAATAAAGTACAGAGAACAGCTGTCTTTTTTTAAAGATAAAGATACGTTATTCCCTATATTCAGAGTGTATGTGTTTTTTTTTCACACGCATATTGCAAGGCCGATCAGACCTCATGACCCCGCATTGACATCATGATCCCGTTTGGTCACTTAAAGGTGAGAAAAACGGAGTACAAGCAAGGGTCCGGGAAGTTGTTCACATAATTCTATAGTATCGGCTCTAAATTAAAATTTCCTAAGAACACATGCCATTGAAATACATATCGAGTGTTGGGCATAAATACTAGACTAGTCAGACTAATACAGGGCGATACACACACGCTTTTTATATGTTGCTTTCCGTTGAAAAGTGGTGATACGTTTAGGCCCATTCAATTTTTTAATGCCACAGTTGAGTAACTACGGCACTAGGCAGATTCTTACGTGTCCCAAATCAGCACGTAAACTGTACACATTCCCCTGTCTACGTCTCTCACTCATCTACACGACTTTTTCAATGAATCATAACGCAATTGCAAAGAAAGCCGTCTAGCCTGATACATGTATCCCATACAGACAGTGATTCTTCCAGATTTTTTTTTCTCAGGGGGGGGGGGGGGGGGGGGCGCGGACTGGTACAAAGTTTATGCTTTCTGTATAAATTCCATTTCGTTCGAGGGGGGGGGGGGTAGACTGGACCAACAGCGGTAACTGTTTAGTGTATCAACTATCATCGGGAACGTTAAACGCAATCTTTTATATAATAACAAGGAACCAAATGAATAACGGCTAATAAATATCACATTTAAACTAGGTCTAGTTGGCTGCAGCTGGTCTAGTTAAAATTAGAAAGCAGCTGGTAAAATAACTGACTATGTTAAAGCTACAAAAGAAGTTTTTTTTTTAAACGAACCGCCTACACAATAAAAAGAATACATCAGTTTAAGAGTTTACGCAAGCAAAGCTGCTAGTAATAATTTTCTTTCGACATGTCCATGAACGGGCTGAATTGCAAACAAATAAAGCCAAGAATTGTTTTATCAATTTACCTTTAACATTTTATATTATCATTATTGTTATTACGGGGGTGGGGAGGATTAAGGTAACACTCAACTTCACATGGAAAAGATAATCATCATAAGACAATTTCTTTGAACTAAAAAAAAATAAATCAATGATGCAAGTTGGTAGATGGAAAATAGAATACACGTTTCAGCTTCGACAAATCGCTTTCCTAAAAACCTCCAACCTCTTACCCAATCCACGTGACATTTGGATACACTCTTGATTAACTGCTCACTCGACAAGCTAACAACAGGTTTTAGATAGCAAATGTAAAGCCGTGACATTTGAAGTTAGTTGTCCCCCTATCCCCATGTTATAGCCTCTAGTATGTGGTAGAGGGTGGTAGAGACGGGAGATCAATAGGACGCCATTTCACCGACATTGAACACACTCAAAAGTAGTCTAAAGAGATGAGTGAGCAGGCCACGATAGTTAAAAGGGGGGGGAGGGGTACATCAACTAACGTTGGTCTCAGGGGGTAGGGTTAATCTACATAACATCATTAATATTATATAGTATATCCTTTGGTAGTAGCCTAGGAGATAATATAGATCATAGCGTTTGAGCAGATTATTTTTAAGGATAACTACGAGAAGGCGTAGTTCAAATATTTAATTAAACTAGGCGATGCTTTTCATTATTTGTTGTTGTAATAACCAAACCGCTAGTAGATCTACTTAGCACTGAGTGAGTGATAAGAAAGACAGAAGCGCCAAGTAACAGTACAGCATGCATAGTGTCTCAGACTGACGGATACAGGAAATGCAAGCAAGGTGTAGTACGAGAGATGAAAGTGGCATAAGCACGGAGATTGAGGTCATCCAAAGCTCCTAGAGCCAGTAACTTGATCAATAACTAGGAGAGAGCCCACAACGTCGGGCCTCTAGAAATAGCACCGTGTAATGATCGACGCGCTAAACTCATTTGGTCGCGGAGAGCACTTTCAGTTGCTCTACATTTGACACGTGCGACATCGTTATGTTTCCATTGTTTTGTTTGCTTGTTCGAATGTTAAATGTCTGGGAGAGGGGAACTAGAAACGTGTTTTTTTTATACCTAAAATCACGTGACGTTCACTTGGGACGACATAAACACACACACCTTTATTTTAGTTTTGAACCACAACCAAGCATAAAGACTTTAAATATCCAGTTATCTCTCCCCCCCCCCCCCCACCAGTACATTTCAGCTTTGCCCGCCCCAACAACTCCCCCACTTATTAGTAAAACCAAGTGCTAGCTAAACAAATGAAGCACAAAAGAGAGCTTAACAGCCAGAAAAACTGAACTCTCGGTCCCTAAACTAAACAGGTGCTGCTATTAACAAGCCGCACCAGAGCAGTCTAGTTGGTCGTTTTAGTTTATTTTTTAGTTTAGTTTATTTACTCAAATATGTATCTTGATACAAGTATCCCCCCCCCCCAATCTGCTGTTTCTGACAGCTACCCCCCCCCCCCCAACCCAAACACATATACTACGTATCCACGCACGCCTACACACACAAAACTCGCATTAAATATTGCTTTATTTGAAAGCAATCGCTATTTAAACTCAACAGAGCAATACAAACGTGAAAAGACGTATTGATTTTCCTTTTGGTGTGTACGAATGTCTAACCTTTAAATTGAAACACGGAGCATTAAACCTAAAGTAAGAGTTTTCTTTTAAAGCACACCCCTATCTTTTTCTTCAATACCGTAGTTATCTCGGGGTTAAGTTCGTTTTATTTGAAGTTGAGAAAAAAATATATTTAGGTGGATAAGATTTTAAATGTAGCGATTAATAGCGCTACAGCTCAATACAGTATTCCCCCCCCCCCATAAAAATGAGAGGACAGTCAGTGGTGTTTCTGAAAAAAAAAACGATCTTCAGGTTACATCTAACAGGAAACGTAACAGTATGCCGGAGGCGTAGCATTTTAAAAATAAAAATACGGTGGGGATTGCATGGGGGCTATAAACAGTCAGTAGCAGATGTGAAAAGTGACTTAAAAAACACGGTTTGATTAACTAGTATGTTCGTAGTGGCTCTAACTAGGGCTGAGGGTCACGTGACAATCCCTTATCGCCACCAGTGTGTGAACACTGGCCAGGGACATTCTTCCCCTAAGGAGAATGCTAACGATTGTTCAGGGCTGAAGAATAGGGACAGGGTGGCCTTTAATACAGGCCTTTTTTTTTCCTTAGATTAAAAAAAAAACTGAAGCAAGAATTTGCAACCCCTCATAAATAAGGAACGGCTATTCATATTGAAATAACGAGGGGGAAAAAAGAATTATACGAATTATAAGTTGCTAAGGTAAGTGGCAAGTTGTCAACAATAGGGGTCGTAACTGATATAAAGGGGAGAAACTTAGCTGACATGTGATTTATTGACACACCACCAGGTGCTGGGTTTTCAAGGTCAGCATTTCAATATTTACAACTGATATGTACAAGGAGAAATACGATCATATCACTTGATCAGCATAGCTGAGAGGTCATTATACCAGCATACTTCACAGGTCATACAGCCAGTGTTTCTTTTAGTCATCATTCGAGGGGGGCGGGGGCGGGGGGGGGGAGAAAACTACAAACAATACAATCTACCATTTGGGAGTAATATGCCGAAAGAAAACCTGCACAACAACAGTTGCCAAGTCATGATTAAACCACCTCAGCTCACAAGTCTAGACTATACCAGCATAGCTCATAAGTCCTTATACCACCTCAGCTCACAAGTCTATACCAGCATAGCTCACAAGCCCTTATACCACCATAGCTCACAAGTCCTTATACCACCATAGCTCACAAGTCCTTATACCACCACTGCACACACGTCATTATACCACCACAGCTGACACGCCATTATAACAATTAAAGTGATTTCTTTCTATACTTACTGGTAATTTGCTGCAGCTGGTCTGGGCTGGTTCCTCCAGCTTCTGGTTCTGCAGTTTCTCGGTGATGAGGGCCAGTCCATTATGAGCCAGCATAATGTGCGTCCAGAACAGTGAAGCACTGCCGACGAAGACTCCCCTCCTCTCATCCAAGCTGATCCACCAGTTTTAGCAATCTTGGTAACGTGCCATTTTTTTCAGTTAACGTGCGATGCTTGTCCCTTGAAAACATGTACAGCATCCACAGATTGCGATTTTTACTACTAGCGATAAGCCTTTTCCGAATCAGCCATCGTCGTTCTGATCTGAAACAGTATAATAGTATAATTTTATGGATAATTGCGCTGATAGACAAACTTCACGAGTTAGTGATAGCCGGACACGTTAAAATCAGGTCCTTGTCTGGTGAAACAGGGACGCCAGTACTGCGATTATCGGTCATAAAATGATACTATCCTGATTTTAAAAATATATAAAACTTGTTAAAAGTGTGTATAGTTAAAAACTGGAACCTATCTTCAGAAAAAAAAAAAGCTGCAGCCAGTGTAAGAGCAACTACACGTATTACAAAAACTAATGTCAACACACCATGTTTGAATGTAACCAGAATATCCCTTTAGGAGAAGCGTACAATCAAAATTTAAAAAAAAAAAAGTTGAGGTATATTCAACTTTTATGACATCTTGTAGCAAACACGTTTCTGTCAACTTGGGATTGATGACCAACACACATTACTACTAAAACTAGCTTGTGTTGCTTATTCTAATATAAACAATTCTGAAAGCATCTTTGTGTGTAAGGGTTTACTTTAATAAAACAAGTAATTAAAAAAAGTCTAGTGACAATTTTAGCGCAATTTCCTTGTGTTATCTAAAAATAGCTCTGTCGTAGCGTAAATCAAGAGCAGGGTTAGTAAAACCATTGGTTAGTTATTAAAAGTTTTTTATTAATTTTTTTTTCCAGTATTTTTGCATGTTTTATTTACAATAGAGTAACATGACTAAAAAACCATTGCGCGCCCCAGCTACCGAACGTGACGTCGCAGCCTTTGAACGTGATGGCGCAGCTATTGAACGTGATGACGCGTGTGGTGTGGTTGCATAAAATGCCTACTAATTCGGTCCAAATTTTAAATAATTCAAAAAATTTTTTGTGACCAAACGAAAGGATATTTTTGAAAACTTTCTTCGGCAATATTGTTCTAAATTATGGCAGGAATCGATTGGTACATGTTTCAAGTCGCTAAGTGGTCTGGTTGCCGAGTTATGGGCCAAAAACTACATTTTTTCGAGGTTTTTTGGCTTTTCCGGGAAATCCATTAAAGAAACCCGGAATTTTTATGGCTTATGTTCATCCTCGTAACTGGCTTAACATAATTGCTTTTGGAACTAGTCCTCGATATTGCTTCGTTGAGGAGGAGATACGACTTAAAGCTGCGGACACACATCCATCCATCCATTCATTCCCAGAAAAGACGAGTTAATAAACGCAATTCTCCAGAATGGAAATTGCGCTAAAAATATTATTTTACTTGCTGATTTTAGTTAATTGAGCCATTTGCCATTGGGAATAAATTTTTGCTTTCAATAAAACAGATATTTCAGATTAATGTTTTACATATAATGCTTTATACAGCATGTTGAGCACCTAAGTAACTAAGTCTAGAAATTTTAAAAAAAAATCTAAGGAGTACATACTTTTCTTCAAATCGTTATAATTTACCACGATATTGTTTGTTAGATCGGTACTCTCAGTTAAATAAGATGTAGACAATATCTAGATGCCTTAGGGCTTAGAAGAATGTCAAATACACTAACGTTAATGTGTGGTTACGTTAGAGGTATACATAGATCTATACACGGCTATTCACGTTGACAGCCAGCACAAAGAATGGCTTAGCATTTTCAGTAGCGGTATCTAATTACACGTCTTTACTAAATGGCAGGCGCTTGGAATAAATTCAATAAACTTAAGTAGCACGCATGAGAGGAATATCCTGAAAACCATTGCGCAAATATTTTTAAAAAATCTTTAGCATGAATAGGTGCGATATTTTAAGATTTAAGATATTTTAAGATTTCAAGTTCAATCAACTAGTCTTGAATTTAGATGTAAATTAAGATTATGTATAATACATTTGAGCATACACAGCGAATAAATAAACATGAATACACTAAGTTCTTATCCAAAAGCAGTGTAATAAGTCTATAAGATATCCCGTAACACGACATACCCCACACACCCGTAATTAAAAGTAGATTATTTAATGATCTCAGGGAGAGACAATGGCAATGGGGGGGGGGGGGGGAGATCTGGATGATCAAATCGTTACATGTATTCATGTAACTGCTAGGACTATATGCCACACAACTGATAATGTTGTTGAACAATAACAATCGTTACATTTATCATCGAATAAAGATATGATCAAAACGTCAAAATACTGTCGAACTGGAATGTAGATTAAATTCTAGAGTAAACTAAAAAAACAACTGAAATGATATAAAGAATAACTCTTGAATCCCAGCCTAATAACGCAGTTGGGCTAAAGATGTGAAATGGATTTTTTAAAAAAAAAGGTATAATCAAGGCAATTATTTATAGACACACAAAAATACTGTTAACTTTTACATAAAATACTGAATCGGTGTACAAGTAGGACAACCGGTATACCCACATACCACTTACCTATCCAATGTGGAAAAAAAAACCACCAAGCGTCCTTATCGACAGGCCAACTTGAATTGCCGAGGCAGAAGGAAAAGTGTATGCCTACCTACCTATAAAACCAGACCCAGCATTGCTGGATCGACAGGCCAACTTGAATTGCCGAGGCAGAAGGAAAAGTGTATGCCTACCTACCTATAAAACCAGACCCAGCATTGCTAGAGTCAAGTCAGATCCCACACTAGGACTACCTAGAGCATATAAAAACATTTGTCCACATGCTACGCCTCAATCTGTTATGTGTATTGTGATACGCTACTTTGACTGGAAACTAAAATCAGTTGGCACGATGCCATTAAAACGTTTTAAGTGGCTACGCTAAAGCCAAAAAAAAAAAAAGAGGGGTGGGGACGACTATTGGAGGGTTTTTAATCTGCTAATAAATAAGTGGTGAATAAAGACACGAAAAATGTGTTGTTTTCATACACGCATTATCGACATGGCGTTTTTCTAATATTTGTATTGCATTTGGTTACCATTGGTTATACAAGTCAAGCTTAAC